AGAAAATTTCATTAAATCGAACACTGAGTACCATAGTTATTCTACTAGAGGACGCGTAAACTTTTACTCACAAAATTGCAGTAACAACATAACAAACATAAATCAGTATTTATAAAAGGATTGTACGAATTTCATAAAATAAATAATGATATCAAGGTGTGTGCCAGTTTCAAATGTTGAAAGGGAAATTGAAAAAATATTTAATGGATAATCACATATTCATAGTAGTGAAATTTGTTTAAAAATGTGTAGCCTTGAAAATGAGGCATACTGTGTAACATTGATGCTAAATAAATCTCCAACAAACAATACTTTTATATATTGATATCTGTCCACTACATCCCAAGGTATTTGGCCATTTCCGGCTGTTTGAATCACCTTGCTGCATATGCTTACCAGTATGAACCCTCATGTGTTTTTCTAAATCCTGAAGTTGTCTACTTCTCCTGCCACAAACCACACATTCATAAGGTCTTTCGCCAGTGTGCATCCGCATGTGGATCTTAAAATTACCACTGTGAGCAAATCCCTTACTGCACACCTGAGAAAAGCATAAATAATATTATATTGAAAATATTTATTTGGCGATAACGTGGGTGTAAAAAAAATCAACTAATAATAAATAAGCACAAAATTTATATACACAGTAGAATACATTTCCATTGCGGTATTCCATGTATCAATTTACGAAAACGTGATCATGATCTATAAAATACAATAAATTTAGAAGCATACCTTGCACTTATATGGCAGGTCAGCAGAATGTGTCTTTACATGCCTGCTTAGTTTCGCGGCGGTTCCGAAAACTTTGTTGCAAGTTGGGCACTGCTTGGACGCATCGTTTTTTGCGTCTTTATTTTGACTTTTCGATGATTTGCTATCATTCTCTGCCGTTCGATCCGGCAGTTGCACATGAACGGGTGGTTCGATTTGCTGATGAGAGAGTTGATGATTGTGATCTTGCCCTGCTTGTTGCTGTTGCATCACTGATTCTAGAGTTTCGATTTCAGGCTGGGCCACCAACTGTAATAGATATTAATATTATATATACACTAGATATTAAACTAAAGTTTGAGGTCCACTATGGATATATTATTGTTAGTGAATCACTGTTTAGTGTATGATGAACTACAATGGTTAAATATCAAAAATTTCATAGTCTACTTGGTTTTCATTTTCATATTCAAGTTAAAAAATCATCTTCTACCAAATCACTTGGAAAATTTTATTGTATTGAACAATGAGTGCCACAATTATTCTACCAAAGGAAGTATAGACTTTCATTTACAAACCTGCAGTAGCAATATAACAAGCAAGTCAGTATTTCAAAGGGGATTCTATGAATTTAATAAATTAATAAAGTAATAATATCACGATGTGTGTCATTTTCAAAATGTTCAAAGGGAAATTGAAAAAATATCTCATGGAAAACCACAATTCATAGTAGTGAAATTTTGTATAAATATATGTAGTCTTGAAGACATAATATATTTTGTGATATACTGTGTAATATGGATAATGTAGCATTAATGCTAAATAAATCTGAAATATACAAACAATCAATCAAAATAATTGCCAAAAAACAAATTACTTTTATGTCATGTTGAATAAATATTAAACAAACAAGCTCCAATAATTTCCTAACCATTGCAAAACATTCAAAAAAATTGGCAGAGCTTCGTCATTCATCACAATTAAATGTACGCTGTGTGCTTTTGAGTATCACACTTACAGATTTAATTACAAGAAGATATGAGTATATATCACTGACCTGCATGTGTGTAACTGCCTGATTGTTGATAACGTTTCCATCTGCAGTTTGCATCTGATTAAGAGGCATGTAACTGGAAGCGCTGTCGTACACTTGTACCTGATGTCCAATCACTTGTATGTTGTAACCGTGCAACTGCAACTGCTGTTGCTCATTGTAATCCATGTGAGTTAATGGAGGCTGTGATGGCTGGGACATGTAGGTAGTGTGAGACTCTTGAGGAACCGTTACACCCACTTCCAACACTGAAGGGTTGCATTCTATATATGCCGGTTCTCCTCGTGCTATTCAATAAACACAAAGTTTTACAAATTAGTCCATATACTGTAGATCAACAATGACCTTCTCAAATAATGTTTTTACTAATAACACTGTATCAATGCATTCTATTTTATAAGACTTAAATATTGTCATTGCATATAGTGCTATAATCCCTAACCTGTACATATATCAACAAACATGATATTTCATATACATTTTTTGTGTTTGTGTAATATATCAATCACTATAAAAAACTGTAAGTGACCACATTGCTCTACTAAGATGTATATTTTCTCAGTTTTATATTTCAAATTATTTGACAAGTGAGAAACAACTAACATAAAGTATAGATCGTCTTCCTCTTGAAGTTTTCAATAGTCAGAAGGGTATTAGAGTAACTAGAAAATACACATTACATTCATCTATTTTCAAGTTCACACCATGCTACTATTATAGACGTTTCAAAGTTTTTCTACAATGTATTGTTCCTGTTAATTTGTTGTAGATTTCTTTGATAAAGGTCTTTCAATGAAAAGTTCACGTCTCTCAAATAAAATATAAAAAATTATGGGTTTGCAAATACAAACACTGATTTGACTGTTGCTTCACAAATGACACCTAAAGAGATAAGAACTCTAATAGAAATTAAGCTTGTAGTAGCAGATAATAGATTTTTTCAACAAATAGCGGCAAAAATATAATTTTATGTTTTAATAATTAGTTAATTTTGTCTCTAGAAAGTGACAATAAATATTACCTGTCTGCTGATGAGCAATCTCCAAGCATGGAATTTTTTCACTCTGACCCACAATTTTGTTTTCACCCTGGACTGCGTTTTGTACTTTCATATCTTCCATTTTTTGCAGGATTTGTCTCAGTTTGGCATCTGACTTTTCACACATCTTCTTGAATTGGAATGAAATGTGCAATTTTGCTGTACATTTGTTGCATATCTGACTAGGAAGTTTATCATTTTGCCAAACCTAACACAATAGAATAAAAACAATATTTTTTCATACATGTCTTCTATTTTGTGTGTGTACAGATCTTTCACCAAATAGGTGCTTATTTAGTTTTTTTCACTACATGTAAAAATATAATGAGTAAGTTCCACATACCTGGACAGATGCACAAGCCATAATCTTTTTAGATATATTGACTTTGAAAATAGACATCATCATACCATCCTTCATGCAGATCCTACAGATTCTCTGAAAATCCGCAGACGGTGGTGTCTCTGCAGCCATTGCACTGAGAGATTGAAAAAAAAAATGATTACATAAATGGTTAAATATTCATTGTTTACATATTTTTAATTGTACATATTATACCTTTGCCATTAACGAATTGTATTTGTCGACATGTCTGTAGTTACACTTAAGCTAGACAAATTTTACCAAGATAGGAAAAGTAATTTGTCGGTTTCTAAACGTAAATTTAAAACAACATTTGGCCCAAGTAAAGATAACATGGCCACGCAAGACCACTATTGAAATATACTCTACTAGACTCTAGAAGACTATCCGTAGCGAAATTTTTCTCGAAATCGTTGCACACCGCTTGAAAAATGCAAATGAAAATTGGAAAACTGTCGCTTTGACGTACTAAATGAGCCGTCGTTACCTCGGGATAGACATACGATCTTGTCATTCTTGTCACCTAGATTGCGGCGTTGCCAGCTCCTCAGATAATTTTGCTACCTCTGCTGGAATTGGTGATAGTCTATAATTGACAGTATCGTGCTTTGTCACTAAGCCCCTGTCACTATGTTTACTAAATATGGTGCAAAAAATCAACCGTTGATTCTCTGGCGTTTTCAAACCTGGAATCTCAGCCCCGTGTTAAGGAAACTACAATGTCTTACCTTGCTTGTTGGAGAATACATGGGCACCCAAATGTCCAATAAGAGTAGGGATGTGATGCGTCTGCCTGTAATTCCACATGATCGACGAGTTATAGGTTGGTTTCAAGTTATCGAGCTGTCCATTTTTAGCTTCCTCAAAATGAATGCCTAATATCTCTGCGTATAAGACGGATACTAATAAAGAGAGTAAAATTAAAATCGTGCTTCTCCTATTAATGATCATGTAATTTTAGATCAAATAGTTAATAAATATATTTACATATATAATAAAACATTGTTTTTTCCAATTGTTGGAAGAAGTCCCGTCCCGTATCCAAAAAGTATTTTATCCTATAAAACTGGGCATTTGAATAATGTTCAGAGACATTACCATTGCTATGTCTCAAATTTTGTATAGCTCAATTGGTATTCATCAATATTTTATTCAAAACTTTTTGTTTTTTTATAACATCCTCTCAAAATAGCAGAGGTAGCAAAATCGCTCGATGAGCTGGCAATGCCGCAAACCAAGTGACAAGAATGACAAGGTTATCTGTCAAGATGGATGTCTATCCCGGAGTACCGACAGCGTTATTTAGAACGTCAAAGCGGCAATTTTCATTTGCATTTTTTTAAGTGTTATGCAACGATTTCGGCAAAAATTTCGCGACGGATAGTCTTCTAGAGACTAGTAGAATACATTTCAACAGTTGTCTTGCGTGGCCATGTTATATTTACTCGGACCCAACATTTATAACCCGTAACCTACATATATAATAAAGCATAAAAGCTTAACTATTTCACAAACACAAAAGACCTTGATTAGCACTTCTATAACAATCTGAAAATCTAAAACTATCATTTATAACTGTATAATCTATCTTTGGCATTTTTTTGTTAAAGAGATTTGCTTTTCTGCCAGTTAGAACCTCAGAACCTCAGTGATTTTTGGGTAAAAGGCCCCCGCCCCTGGCCCACCCTGATGAGCAGAAGTCAAGTCAAGCTTGACTACAAATAAATAAGAAATAGATTCAGTTTTGCGTTTAAATCTATTCACTAATTCAACTAGATTAAAAAATAGATTTGGTTCCAATGTTATGTAGTTACGTCACTTGTCACCATAAGCTGTCAGTTGTCAGGCGCTGACATTGTGAATGCGAGGTTATGTCGTATTATTTTGTTAATTTTCCAACATGTGTTGGGCAAAATAGAAAGTCAGTGTGATTCTCACCGGTTTTACCCTATTCTACACATTTCTCGTGTAAAATATTTATAATGGACGACCAAGACATACCCGAAGACGAGTTGGAAGACATAGAAGTCATCTACTCGGATGGCGAAGACGCCGATTATGATGAGCAACAAGCAGAAAATATGATAGAAGATAGCAATGAGGTTGAAATCGAGGCAGAGGTTATAGATTTATCGATATTGACCTTCAGCAAACACACAAAATCCGTGTTTTGCTCAGATGTAAACAAAAGTGGTCAAATCGCTGTAACAGGTGGTGAGGACGATATTGCGTACGTATGGGACACAAACAGTGGAGATGTGTTATTTGAGTGTACTGGCCACAAAGACTCCGTCACAGAAGCCTGTTTCAACTATGACGGACAGTTTGTGGCTACGGGAGATATGGCTGGAATGATACAGGTACAACCCTGAAATATTGAATTACAGATTTTGTAGAGCCAAATTAGTTGTCCACTTAATTTAAATGTGACCTTAAAAAATTTGAGGTGTATGACAGCATCAAATACATATAAATACACATGTGTTTTTGAAAATGTCCAGATAGGAAAGTTCCCTGCCATAATATATGAAAAGATTGACTGAAATCTATCTATAAATGAATGTAATCTCACTTGACAGTTATAAATTCATCTTCTAGGTTTGGAGTGTCGAAGAGAAAAAGCTGGTATGGTGTTTTGAAGGTGACGATATGGAATGGCTATTCTGGCACCCAAAAGCCAATGTCTTGCTATGCGGCTGCCATTCTGGGGATGTGTATGTTTGGCAGATGCCACAAGGCCATTGCAAAGTGCTCCCATCTCCTGACAATGCAGCAGCTACATGTGCAAAACTGTTGCCTAATGGAAAACAGTTACTGGCTGGATATGAAGACGGGAACCTGCAGCTGTGGAACATTAAAGAAGTGACCAGCGAATGGAGTAATTCACAGTTCCACACTGTCACCAATGTAGATGTTAATGAGGTAGGTACCCTATACCTGTATTTATTATTACTGTGCTTAATACGGTCTATGAGAGCAAACAAATTTTTGTTTCAATTGAGATATGCATGCTCTCTAATTTTTCCCACTTGACTCTAAAGACTCCAAAAATAAATATTCTTGCCATCAAGGACCAATAATCCGTGCTGACTTTTGGTCAAACCTTGGATTTGAAAGTTAACTGGGAAACCATGTACGAATTTCAAAACCTAATTCTTGTTCAACATATAAAACACTGCTTTATTTGTTTCTTACATATTTGTCATTAAAAATTATTTGCTAACTTATATTTTCAAAGTTTTCTTTTTACAGTGAGGATATACTTGCCTGTGTTCTTGTACATAACATAATAAGAAATGCATTTGTTATTGATTAAAATGATGTCATCAATATTTTTCTCTGGAATGAAAAACTAAGAATAGCTCTACCATCTTAACATACTGGTTTCGTCAACCTTTTGTGCTTATTGACAACTCATCAGCATGATCTAGGTTGGGTCTCAAGTCATGACAAGGGACGAAACCATAGCAACTAACCTCATCTGAGTTTTTTGTTTAGATTCGTGGTTTATACGTTTTTAATTCGTCCCCTTTCCTCGAACGAACTAATATTTATTTTTTGATTTGTTAAGGAATTTATACAGAATTTTGTCAGCTGACACTTTCATATAAAAATGATTAACCTTGCCCCTTAGGAAGGGTTGTTGGCTGTGGTGGCTCCATCGTCGAACATCGTGAAGTTGGCTGATGGCAAAGTGACTACAACTCTCCTGCCAAACGAGGAAACGGAAATCGAAGCGGCGACTTTCAATAGAGAGACTGGAGTCGTCGCCACCGGATCACTCTCGGGACAGCTGTGCGTTTGGGAGGTGGGCAAACAAGCATTGCGTCACCAGGCGCGCATCGAGTGCTCCGTAACGGTGCTGAAATGGGGCCCGGCCACGAAGATTTTTATCGGCGCCACAGACGGCGCTGTTTACGTGTGCGACGTCAAGACGGGCAGTTTGTTGGAAACGCTCACCGGACACAAAGCGGACGTGCTCAGCATTTCGTTGCTCGATCCAGACGGAAAGAGGATCCTCACCACATCCGATGATGCCACTGTCAAGATATTCAACGTCAACTAACCATATAGCGATTACGATTTCGTAAGGAGATGAAAAAACGTCACTAAAGGGGTGACGAGCAAAGTTGAGCCCCCGTTTTGTTAGAAGCGGTCGATGGTCGAAACGGAATTGCTTCAAATATGAATTGTTTATTAATATTATTATTATATTAATAATTTTTATGTGTTACTACAGCATATACCTACAGGGTGGCGCGTCGAAAACGAAACAGACGCAGTTACTGGCTGCTCAGTTGTTTTTTTTGAAAAACGCTCAGTCCCGTCGATTTTGTTTTCGAGGGGGACACAAGTTTGGCAAAAAATCACGTTAACACGTGGAGGCCCCTGGGCGGGGTGACACCAACCATAAAATCTTACACGGAAAGGGGGGTCGTATTTTAAAGGTCTTTGAATTCCCTTTATAATGTTGGCTGAGTAGCATAGATTTTGCTTTTTAAATGACCCCACATAAAGAAATCCAAAGGTGATAAATCTGGCGATCTTGGGGGCCATTGAATGGCACCTCTTCTACCAATCCATCGATCTGGAAACGTCTAATCGAAATATTGTCGAACACGTCATGCGTAATGTGGTGGGGCACCATCCTGTTGGAACATCAACCCATTCGCAATGTACCGCCGATCATTCTGATTTTCAATTATGGCTGTTAATACAGGATCTATGGCGTCTTCCAGTAATTCCAAATACATTTCACCGGTCAAATTTCCAGGTAAGAAAAAAGGATGGCAAAAAATACCAGCCCAAACATTTAATTTTTGTGGCTGCTGTGTATGAACCTCATGATAAATTCTGGGATTAGAATCGGACCAATATAGGCAGTTATGACGATTTACTACGCCATTTAAGAAAAAAGAACACTCGTCGGAAAAGCAAGTGTTGAATAGAAAATGTTCATCGTTTATAATTCGTTCACTCATATCTTCACAAAATTGTAATCGCCGATCAAAATCGTCTTCATCAAGTTCTTGTACCAGGTGAAGCCCCCACTCAATTTGCTTCGTCCGTTATGGGATTTTCAATGTTGCAATGTTGCGTTTTTTATTGGCGACTGACCCAGTTTTCCGAAATTTAGCTACAAGTTTTAGAACATATTTTCGATGCACGTTACTGTTCTGATGTCGCTCATTAAATATTTCTGCTGTTCTATTAGCGCACTGATTGTTTCCGAAAAATATTTCGATAATTTCAACTCTTTTCTGCCGTGGAGTATACCATGGTTAATTTATTTACTAAAGCGTTACAAATTATTTTAGGAACAAAGTTTAGTTAAATGAATTGCAAACTATGTACTAAATTCCTATTTAAAATAAGTACGAGATATTTCCTTATCTTTCTTCAAGAAATAACTTTTTTGCACAAAAAACGCTCCAATAGCTATTTCCAACAACAAAATGATAAACAAACCATGGGCGTAGTGAAGAAAAGCATTTACTTATTAAGTAAATTCTTTTAGTCAAATTTCTTCTGAAAGTAGTACAAACTAATCTAATGTACCTATTAAAGTCTACTTTAAGCTTTAAATCAATAAATCTGCAAAACTACTGAAGTACATTAATTTTATATCATTATAAAGGGAATTGCAAGACCTTTAAAATAAGGTATCGCTCGACCCCACTTTCCATTTAAGATTTTAGGGTTGGTGTCACCCTCGCCCAGGGGCCTCCACGTGTTAACGTGATTTTTTGCCAAACTTGTGTCCCCCTCGAAAACAAAATCGACGGGTCTGAGCGTTTTTCCAAAAAAAAAACTGAGCTGCCAGTAAATGCGTCTGTTTCGTTTTCGATGCGCCACCCTGTACTATCTTTGCAGGGCATTCTACAAAGTTGTGTTTAACTATTGGATAAAAGCAGATATTTTCCGTTGAAGTATTTTATTCATTTGAAATTATTTAATTGGTGATACTAGTTTTACCGTCAAAATACAATTATTTTAACTAAGTAAAAGCATCTAGGTCAAGCTTAGCTATACAATGCCCTGTATATTCAAATCGTGTTAGTAAGTTTATGAAAGCTATGTGAAAAGTTTTCGTAACTATTAAACTTTTATTATGATCAAGAACTGACTATATAAGACTATATTCAAACGTGTTTTAAACAGTACCAGATGAATAGATAACACTTCCATCTCAGTATAACTTTAATGTACTATCGAGTTTAAATTTACTATTGTTGTATTTTTAATAAGAAAAAATATATATTTTTTATGTTATGTGACGTCCTTTATATTATCGTTATCGTACGATTCACAAGGTGATACATAGAATTTCTCGGTTATAAAAAGACATTTAAAGATCTGTGAATCTTTATTGTCTTCTTCATAAATACGAAACAAACAACACAAATAATAAATTATAGTTCATATAAAAAATGATTTGTTCCTAGCCTAACTAAATAGAAAAAAATGTCATTTGATTCTAGGGTAGTAATACAAAACGGATGACCCTGGTAGCTGCCAATTGGAAGCATGTAATTCGATCAGTTGCAGTAAAGTCCGTCTCACACTTGCGGAACTCCCTGTCAGGAAACCATCACGCACGCTCGCAAGCAGTTGCTCCAGTTGCTGAGGAAGTTCCGATTCCAAGTCTCTTCCTAAACCAAAATACATTTACCAGTTAGTCAGTTCGTACAAGTAGTTCGGTTTCAGTAAATGCGACCTGCAGAACTAGTTCACTAAAAAGAACCAGAAAGCACATCACTAATGCAGTTTCAACAGACAGCTTACTCTCGCATCGAATGATGACACTTTGTGTGGTCTCATTTCCAAAACATATTTGAACAAGGCGTAAAAAGTCAGATCGGTACTGGATCTACTTTTTTTGATGACACAAACCTTTCGTGTTATTTTCTGCCGCACAAACGTACCTATCGAGGTGAGAACAAAGAAGAGACATTCAGTCTCTGAAAGGCACTTGATCGGTAGACTGACGCAAGCCTGGCAGCATTTGGCTAGGATGGACAGCAACGTCAGTTCAGGTTGGAGAGATTTGAAGTTTTCTTTCAATTGATGTCGCTTCAAATGGCCACACATTTCTGTGAGGAACCACATGAAAGCGGTGAATCGGGTACCATCTCCTGCTTTGATACCGCGGAGGATTTTGTCGCGTTCTTGGTACCTGAAATTTGTTCCAAATAGACAATGTTCTAAAATTGAATGGTCGTTACCAAAATCACTCAAGGCTGTTATTTGATGACCGGCGAGGAATTATCGTAATCTCGAAAAATCTTGAAATTGAGATATTTTTTGTGATTATTATACAGGGTGCTTGCAAAGTTGATTTGTTTATTTTAGCAGCTCATAGAACTGTCAAATGGAAGTATACGCACTATTAAAAGATTGATCGAACCAAAGACTCGTACTGGAGACCATATATCACAAAAAGTTTGCCAAATTTAGATAAACGATAAGAGTAGTATATCAACCCCTTTTGACGAGTCCATCAAGCATAAATGAGTCAACTTTCAAAGCACCCTTTATCTTATTGATTTTGCTTCAGGTATAAATGCATATCTCGGCAGAGACCATCCAAAAATGAACTATGGATAAGACATCCTCATTTGCGGTAATCGCAATTTCAAAGCTACACCAAACACAACATTGGTTGTCTAATGTTGAATATTACGGTTTACGTGTATAAATACACCTATACCTTGAGCGGGAAAGTAGCAATCTCGCGATTTTCGTACAAATAAAAAAAATCTCACCATTGTTGACAAGTGTTGAGTAGCGTTTCTAGAAAGGTCTGTTTCTTCTCATTCTCGATGATGGAGATGCACAATTTTGCGATCGGTTCGCTATATTTGATGCCTTCGACTGCCTTCTCCATAATGGTCTTGACGAGATCCATCAAAGTGCGTGTCGGCAGTTGATTCGGATCTTCCAATGCGGCCTTTATAATCGTTTGTTGATCATCGGGAAATATCGTTACGTCTAGTTCTTCTTTCACTATGCTCTTTAATTTGTCCGCTAGGTTTCGGGAATCGGTAGCGCCTACAAAAAGAAGGATATCGAGGTGAAACGTGTACGCCTTTAGAACGGCGAATTATTATTTTATCATAAGCAGCGAAAACAGAATAATTATGACTTTCATTCATTTATTTTAATAATAAATTTCGAATACTTCTGAACAGAAATTACTCAGGAGGTGAATCACCCCTCGTCTTCAAAACAATGTTAAAAGGGAATATTCACTATTCCCTTCATAATGGGTTATGTCTTCAGTTTCATCATACATTTCAGTTTGTTTGAAAACAATTCTACACGCATTTCTAAACGTTATGGTAGTCATTATTGAAATGGGTAATAGGGGGGATCAAAACAAGTTAAAAAGTTCATATGACCCATCGTCCAAAAGTCAATAGATTTTGTCTAAATGGCTTTATAGTTCTCACCTTTAAGTGCTTTATATCGATCACAATCACCATAACCTCACTAATTTTTATAATCTAATCTAAAACGTTTTTAAATTGGGTCATTAACAAATAAAAGTTAAGCCAAAATTACCTGTATGTATGTATAGCTGTAGGTCGACATAACTTGGCAACATTGTGGTTCAATCCGCTTTGTAACCTGCATTATATTGAATTCTTTTGAACATTACAACAAAATGTCTGTAAATTTGCTTTGAAAAGGTCTTCATTGTGTCGATAGTATTCATCGATCATCTCGTAATCTACTTTCGGTAAATTCGAAGAATCTGCTTTCACGAAATTTTGTTTCATATTTTAATTGTGTATTTAAAAAGCTAAATTCCAAATCAGTCGCTGCACCACGCTGCACAAGCCAAATCGCAATACCAAATCGTCAACAACAACGCCAGAATGCATCATAACCTTCAAATTATCTGTCAAAAACGTAAAGACACAGAACGCAAACAGCTCCGGACGAGTCTGTAGAAGAACAAACTGGGAATATCTCCTGTCCTTGTCACACTGTAATCGGCGAACAAATGTAGAGTGACATTCTAAGAAGGGGGCGGAGAAAATATTACTACGTCACGCCAGATATTAATACGTCACACAGTTGGCGGCAAATTTTATTTTTAAACATTGAAGCCGAGTTTTTGTTCAAAGAAAACATGTAAAATTACTCAATATATAATTTTTAGATGTAAAACTTCAATTTGGAACTAAAATTTTTTTTTTGGAAAATACCCCATTGTGTTCCCTATTTATAAGTGGATTTTTTTACTACGTTCAATAAAATTTCACACACCAGGTAAAGCGCTCAGATAGATAGTGGTAAGTCCGTTTCTTTAATTGTTTGCATTTTACGAGTACATTATCAAATAATGAAATAATAAATAAGAGCCAAAAATAACGAACTCCGTCTTTATTTACACTGCGTCCCGTCGTAATTTGCGTCTGGCATTGCGGCGTTGTCTGATTTTATTTTAAGTCGCTTGTCTCTAAAAAAATGCCGTTTTGACACCCATGTTATATGAAACTGTTTGCTTCTTTTAACCCCCACTATCACCCATTTAAATAATGACTATCATAACGTTTACACCCTGTATTATCCCATTCATAATGGGTTATGTCTTCACTTTATGTATGTATACTCACCCAAACTTTTGGATCTCTTTAACGCCGACGCCGAAGAACTTCCACTAGAAGTCTGCTTAGTGGAGTTTCTGTGCGCGTTTCCACCTCCACCGCCTGCATATCCCGGATGATACGCTCCCGGATGGTTCAGCCCAGAGAATACGGGATGCGAGACCGCCGCAGCAGCTGCGGACGCGGCCATATTGAACATTTCCGGCGGGTAGTGATGGTGATAAGCGGCGCTGGAGGGTCCCGAACCTGAACGGTGAGCCATCTGCTGGTGATGGTGATGGTTGAGGATCTGCGAGGTCGAAGCGGAATGCAGAATTGCTGCCGCTGCTGCTGCTGCTGCGGCGGGCATCGCCATTCCAGCACCAGCGGCCGATGGGAACAGCGGGATCAGACCAGGATGGCTCATTTGTCTAAACAAGAATTAAGAAAAAATACAGAGTCAATTGTAGAGGAACCACTCCATCGAAAAAGCAGATTCTGCCGCTGTGGTTGAGGTGATACCTCTGGTGGCTGAAATTTGGATGTGATCATCCATTCATTACCCGCGGTAATAGTCCAGGAAGTATCTTCGCATCTGCTCGGAAATATATTCTGATTATGTTTTTCGCGTAACCTTGATAAAAAAAAGAAACTTGCAGATTCATTCAAAGCCCAACTAACAATTTTATGTTGTATAAATGTCCTAACATTGTTTTCAGAACTATTTTTATAAAACAACAATGCCGCTATTTTTAATAACATTTATACATCGCTTATAAACCCAAAAAGGGCGCACTCTTGTGAGACAATTTTGTTCTTTTTATGGCTACCTCAATATATTTCCGCTAGACTTCGAATGTTGTAAGGATGTCGTCGGCATATGATGTTCGTAGCCCATCGCAGCAAAATTGAGGTTGCCGCTCGACTTGGAGGATTGAAGATCATGTTGATGGTTCATGGTGAACTCCTTGGCATGAACATTCAATTTCCCGCTGGCAGCCATCGGTAGATCCGTCCGCACATTCGGCGGCCTGTAGATCTCCATGATGGGCTTACCAGCTGCACCTCCTCCTCCTCCTCCTCCCCCTTTCAAGGTGGCCATGGTTTGGCTTCTGCGTTTCTGAGAATCCTTGTTTGATCTGACGAAGCTTCTCTCGCGACTGACCAGAGGGCTTCCGGTTCCGCCGATGCTTGCGCTGTTGCTGTTGTGAAACTCCATCTTCTTGCATTTTCGCAGTTGAGCCTCTTGGGACATCACCGTCAATCTTCAAGGTAAGGACAGAATGTGGGAAATCTCACCACGTCATGTGAACTGCTGTAATAGTACAAACGAATAAGGTTTCTAAATCAATATAGAAGATATTTGAAAAAAATGCAAATAGCACTCTATTTCAGAAAAGTTATATGAGAAAATCTAATTGTCTGTTAATTTTTCAGTAGATCCAAAAAGGATCTTTTGGTTACCTAGATGACGATGCCATAGGCCATTACTCGTATTAAAGCCTTTTCTCCCAAAAAATATACATACTTCATTATTATTATACTGAAAAATTCCGGAACCCCGCAATAATTTGTAAACTAAGAATGGTATGGAAAAACTAAGCCCCGCGATTGATACGAGTTGTTCCTAGCTACTCGATGGTGACCTTGGGTTTGACCTTGACTAATAGAGCGGACAATTTTACGTTCGAATTGTTCATTCTTAAATTTCGTCGACACGAGTACAGTGGTATAACTTGAAAACTACCGAGACACTATTTTCATGATTTTCCACCGCATATCCAATAATGACCTTGGATCTGAGCTCAATCATTACGTCTTTCAAGGTCCTGTAAAGGTCAAGTCGTTTTTTTGTATAGGGAACAATTCTGAAAGAATCGAGAAGCCAGTTTATGTAGGAGCTGCACAGTTTTCTGAATTATCAAGAAATTAAAATTAACCTGTGTCTGATCATGATGATTAAGTATAAGGTCAAGGGCATGTTCGAACATAAAATATTCTTTTTTCCACATTTCCACGGTCAACTGTATAGGGTCCCAGTTAAAAAGAGTTGATCTACCAGTGACCTTGAAAGTAACGGAACAGGTCAGATATAAGGTCACCATTGGATATCCAGGGGAAACATCATCGAGATAATGTCTCTGTAGTTTCCGTACGCTTTCAAGTTATATCAGCGTACGTGGATTTAACCTTGACCATGACCTCAAAGTCATTTGAAGTTCAAGTCGATTTCTTTAAATGGATCCTCCCATTTTTGGCACTGTACAAGAAAAGAGCGAACAATTTTAGGTTCAAATTGTTCATTCTTAAATTATTACCTTAGGAGGTCATGGTCAAGGTCGAACACAGGTTCCGTGGCATAACTTGAAAACCATTAGTCGTACAGGGAGACCACCGAGACATTATTTTCATGATTTTCCCCGTATATCCAATAATGACCTTGGCTCTGACCTTAACCAGTATGCTCTTCAAGGTCATGTGAAGGTCAAGACTTTTTGTTGTATCCGGCGAACAATCCTGAATGAATAGTGAAGTCAGGTTATATAGGAGTTACACAGTTTTCAAAATTACAAAAAAATTAAAATAAGCTTAGGTTTGACCTTGATGGTCAAGTCTAAGGTCAAGGACATGTTCGAATATACAATTTTCCCTATTTTCCGTTTCCGCGGTTAAGAGTATAGGGTATCAATAAAAGAGTGTTGATATTGCAATGACCTTGATAGTCATGGCCAAGGTCAGATCCAAGGTCATCATTGGATATCCGGGAAAACAATGAAAATAATGTCTCGGTAGTTTCCGTATGGTTTCAAGTTATATCACCGTACCTGGGTTTGACCTGGACCATGATTTCCTGAAGTTAAAATTTAGGAATGGTCAAGATCACATTTGAACGTAAAATGTTCCGCTATTTTTCTTTACAGAGTGTTCAATTTAGAATATCGGCTTGACCTCCAAATGACCTTGAAGGTCATGGTCAAGGTCAAATTCAAGGTCACTATTTTATAGATGGACAAAACTCCCATCAATTGCGGGGCTTCGTTTTTTTTTCGTATCATTGTTAGTTCACAAATTATCGTATTTCCAGACAGCCTGTATATAATAACATAACAATACCAATTGCCTTAACGTGGTTTTAACTGCAGTTGTCAATCAAATAGTGAATGACGACATCTACATCTACGACATTTAGAAAGCTGAGTTTCTATCCCAGTCTCAAGTTCGAAAAAGCTATTATACGACACAAAGATTTATGTTAAGCTAAACAGGTATTTGTGACGTTTGACATGTTTGGCTCAAAATAAGGTACAGTATATGTAACGTGTCAACTTAATTGGATAGTGATAATTTGAGCCTCCTGGTATATGGCAACTATACTGTTTTAAATCTGGGTTCATCTTCAATGACCTAATAAATGACTAAGCATTACGCTTGAGATGTGAGTTTGAAAAAAAAGTAATAAAAATACCTGTAAATACCTCCAACAATTTAAAAATCTAGTCTGTGGGTCACAAACATGCACACACACAATACTTTCGCACAATATTACACGCGGAAACAGTTTTAGAAACAGACGATGATTATTATTATTCACTTATTATTCACACAACCACGCGCGAGACTCCAATTTTGGTAAAGCGAACGACACGACGCGCGGCAATTCAAACAAAGGAAACTTTTTCGCGCTTGTACTGCTTCGAAATTGGAATCGTCGAGATCTACATGCACTTTTTAGTACGCCATAGTGCCATTTTTCAGCGTTTTAATCGGTTAAAATGGGAGATAGAAAAGTTAATTCGTTCGTTCGTTCGAGATGTGTTGAAACATAGTTGAGGCGGTGTTTCGAGGTTCGACACCGACACAGCTTGTAGACGCGACGTATATTTAGAACGAGAGTATTTTTAACGATGTATGCGCTGAATGGTATTAATAGTTTAAGTTGTGTATTTTGCCTACATGGTGACAGAAAAAATTGCAATACCTATTATTGTCTTTTTGTATCGGAATAATTGCATGATAGAACAAGATGGCCACTCTGACGAACACCTTGCCTGGTGTCCTCTAAGTTCACGACGACTATCATATTGTGTAGAAAAAAAAAATTATAAGTGAAAGATTATGCGTGTGTTTCATTTCCGTAGGTACTTGCAATCTGGGAAATAATTGCGGCTATTTTTATATAATTTGAGAACCGATATTACAGAGCCACGTAATGTATTTCATGTTAAGACGCACTGTACCGAAATTATTGGGTATTTATTATTATGTAATTGAATGAATGACGATTGACACTTTCAGAGTTTTTCCTATCAGGTATTACTTCAGATGTGACGATAATTATTAAAATCTAGTAAGCTTTGTCGCGCGTGATCGTGGGTGGGGTTTAAACTCAGTGATGCATTAATTTTATTCAACCATGCTCATAAATATCTAGTCAATGAAGTCACCATCGGTAGAGATGGGATTTTCAGAATTCAACGCATCGATATAAGTTTGGTAATTACACTGGACAACAAATTTTAGTTTTTTAATTGTATCTTGTGGGAAAAGTGCACTTCTTTGTTAATTTTGGGGCGCTGAATCCAAAAATGACAATGAAATAAAAAAATTAGTTGCGGTTTAGAAAAAAAACTTTTTATTTTTAAGGATATATTAAAAAAAGTAACAAGATTCATATACTTATAAGAATCACTATATGCGCTGCTTTCTTTTTGCTGTTCTTTTATGGATCGTTTCTGGAGCATCTCTACCAAGAGTCCAACAGTAGTCAGCAAGCATGGAAGGGTTCCACTTTCCCTGGTACCTTTTTTCCATTGTTGAAATATCCTGATGAAAACGTTCGCCGTGCTCATCACTTACGGCTCCGCAATTGTCAGGAAAAAAGTCCAGGTGTGAGTGTAGGAAATGTATCTTAAGAGACATATATTTTTGACAAGGGTTTTATAGTTGTCAGCTTTTCTATGTCCCAAGAAATTAGTGACCACCAGACAGAAATCATTCCAAGCAGTTTTTTAAATACCTGTTAAAGTGTTTTCAAACTGTGTATCTTTCAAAATATTTCGAATCTGTGGCCCAACAAAAATACCTTCCTTAGCCTTTGCCTCACTTAGTCTTGGAAATTTCTGACGCAGGTATTGAAAAGCCCATCTCTATCTAATGCCTTGACAAAGTTTTTCATTAGGCCCAACTTGATATGCAGTGGTGGTAATAAAATTTTTTTCGAATCTACTAATGGCATATGCTGTACATTTTTTTGACCTGGCTCTAGGAATTGACGAACAGGCCAGTTTTGTCTGGTGTAATGAAGTGCCTTTGCCCGACTGTCCCATTCACACAAAAAACAGCAAAACTTTGTGTAGCCTAGCTGCAGCCCAAGTAAAAGTGCAACAACTTTCAAATCGCCACAAATATGCCATTGGTGCTCATCGTATTTTATGCAAGTCAATAGGTACTTCATATTGTCATATGATTCTTTCATGTGAACTGCATACCCTACAGGAAGAGATGGTAAACTATTCCCAATATGCAATAACACTGCCTTTAAACTCAATGTTGAACTGTCTATAAACAATCTCCATTCTTCTGGATTATAGTTTATATTTAAAGCCGCCAGTAAGCCGTTAATGTTACTGCAGAAAACCAAGTTATTCTCCATATTGAAAAATGGTTCTAATTCTTTGTGGCGTTTACGAAAAACACATACCGAAACATCGTCTTCTAACAAGTTCCACTGCTGCAGTCTTGATCCAAGTAACTCTGCCTTACATTTTGGAAGTTCTAAATCTCTTACAAGATCATTTAATTCTGACTGTTATTTTGTGCGGTTGGTGGCATGACGTGCTCGATATAAAATCAGGATCTCTTGACGTTGATGGCATATCTTCTTCCTGACGAATCACTCGATCGCCATGATCTGATTCGTTTTCTGATTCGCAAGTGTAGGATTCTGGGGGTTTTGGAATAGGATTTTCGTCACTGTGAGGCACAGGTCTCATCGCAGATGGTATGTTTGGGTAGTTAATAACCAATTTTTTCTTCTTGGACATACCTGTGGCTTGTCCAACACAAGGTACCATGCAAAAGTAACAATCATTAATATGATTTGTAGGCTCTCTCCAAACCATTGGGACAGCAAAGCGCATAGACCGTTTTTTGCCATTTAACCAGCTCCTCAGACTTGAAGCACATGTATTACAGCAGATGTGGGGTGCCCACTGTTTGTCTTGATCACCTAGTTTACAACTGAAATAAAGCTGATATGCCTTTGTTATTAGTGGAGTAATAGACCGTCTCTGAGACGCAAAAGTCACATCACCACACACGTAACAAAACTGATCTGGATTGTTTACACACTTTCGAGACATCTTGCATGAACGCTGTCAGCCAACTGAGGAAAAAATGGCTAATATAAAACAATATAATGTACACGTATGTATACCGTAACACAATCATGCCGATTACATCATCTTTCCTTGCCGAATATAAAAATGTAGCACGTGCATTCTTGTGAATTACAGTATATTAACACTGTCACAGCAGGAACACACATAATTACCGTATCTCTAAAACTTGAACTAATATTGAAAAAATAAGTTTCATTCCGGTTTTAGCACATTAAAAATAGTAATATTTTGTTGATTTTATTTATTATATTTTTTGGCTGTTGATCAGTGTTATGTTTCTAGCAAGGTGTGCCATTAAGTTGAGCGGATTTTAAAAAATGATAGAAAACAAACTTACAAAACATAGAGCACATAATTTATAGTGTTAATAAAGTAGAAAAGTAGATACATCAGAATATCATTTTTTTAAAATAACATCATTAAAATGTGAGTCATCTAGACGTACGGACGTCGCAGCTTCGCTAAGTTTCCTCTGTTCTTATTGACCTTACCCTACATTGCTCATAGCGAAACAGACGCCTCGAAGTAGTGCAGGAATCTCCATTTTTGTAATGAGTCTTAACACAGAACGCACGGTTAAACGCCCCATGGCGTCTAAATTTCCTAGCGCCAAGCTATTTGCGGATTTGAAGTACGTACGTCCTTCTGGTCCACCATGTAGGTACTTTATTAGGTAGGTACTAGGTATTCGTATGTCAAGCGGTATTGGGCTTTGTTAGTTCTGCGCGGTTGCTATCTTGATACTACTTTTACTGCTTTGACTTACCGTTTACATCTTGAAATTTATTGCAATTTCAATGTTTCCTCTCTCAAGTGGCGTGGAAGGTAAAACATTCAACGTCCAGACGATTTCGTGTTTTTATAAATCATTCAAAAAAAAAGGCAAATCGTGTTTCATGCATTCAGGAATAACGCGGAGAATTAAATACTTAGAAATTGGAAAAAATGCTATTTTCAAACTTCTCAAACGGTGCACAGAATTAACGGTATTGTGAGCGTATAAATATATGTTCTGAGATCAGAACATATTTTCATACTCTCCCTCACCCCCTACAACTCCTAACCCCCAAATTTCAACCCTTACAAAATTTTCTAAAAATGATCAAGATCCTCCAAAACGTCAAAAAACGAGGTTTCTGTGATTTTTATTTTTTTCATTTTTAGGTTTTTAGGTATTGACTTCGATATTTTTTAAGAAAAAATGGTACGCCAATGGTTTTTTGCCGAATAAAAATTATTTTTGAATTCCCCGTTCGATTTAAAATAAATGATCTCTCATGAATTATTGTTTTCCTTCGATGCGCCATTTTTGAGTAAAAAAATAAAAACCGTTCTATTATATTATAATTTAATTGGATAAATTAAACACGTTAGGGAAAATGAACGACAACAACTGACAACATAAACATAACATTAAAAAAAACAGAATGATTACAAACATTGTTGAAAATGGCCCCCTTCATTTAGTATGCATGCTTCCTCCCTCCTCCTCATGGAATTGCGCGCTCGTTGAAATATCCCTGGAGTGTTTTTTATTCTATCACAAGCTGCAACTATTCTTTCTCTTAATTCCTCTACAGTGTTAATTGGACTTGTGTACACTAGTGTCTTAAGATAACCCGACAAAAAGAAATCTAAACTATCTAAACTATATAACTGAAATGCGCTGGTGTACCATCATGCATATACCACATATTGTTAGAATGGGCCAATAAAGTGGTTTGCCAATAATTCTTGCCCATACTTTAACCGAAGATTGGTGTTGCAAATGGGTTTCGGTTACGGCATACGGATTTTCTTCTGCCCACAAATGATTATTGTGGAAATTCTGAATGGCATTTCGAGGAAAATTAACTTCGTCCGTGAACAGAATCATTGATTCAAATTGCGGATTTTATGTGATTTTTTGAAGATACCACTGACAATAGGTCACACGCCTTGCAAAATCAATGGGAAGTAATTGTTGTACTCTTAAAATATGGTAAGGATATAACAAAGAAACCACTAAAATTCGCCAAACAATTTCATGGCAAATATTTAAGTGTCTAGCGATCTTCTTCGTACTCGTTTCAAGATGTTCTTCGACTTCGTGCAGGATTGCTTCCTCAATTTCAGGTGTTCTCACAGTTAGAGGTCTACCTTCAGATGTTCCTTTTCGGACAGAACCAGTTTCAACAAGACGACGATGAATATTAGAAAAGGTTTGACTATCTGGCAAGGCACGATCGGGATATCTCTGGTGATAAATCCGTCTGGCTTGCTCACCATTACCTTCGGTAAGGCCATATACGTAATGCATTTCCGCCATTTCTGCATTTGAATAATTCACCATTATCAACAAGATTGTAAAAACTGAATAATTAAAACAGATTGGAATAACAGAGACTTGTCAGATGTCAAAAGCCCGTGACATATTCCAGAGCAACTAGATATTTATTGCTAAATTGCATTCTTCAATTATTACATTTCTCGGACAATAGAGCGGTTTTTATTTTTTTATTCGAAAATGGCGCATCGAAGGAAAAAAATTTAAGTTAGATCATTTATTTTAAATTGAACGGGGAATTCAAAAATAATTTTTATTTGACAAAAAACTATTGGCTTACCATTTTTTTCTTAAAAAATATCGAAGTCAATGCCCGTACGCGCGCCACTGCTAAAAATAAAAATTATTTTTGCATTGCAAAATATGCAACTTTATTCACTTTCACTACGTACTAAATATCAGTGAAATATCTGAAGCGATTCTGAAAATTTCCATTTTTTCCTAAAACTTCAAAACCCCGAGTTTTTGTAAGGAAACATTTTTGGACCATAGTTTATTAACCAAACTAACATTAATTTTTCGTGTAGATTCACACCCTCAAATATTCGTATATCATTAATATTATAATATTATAAAAGATGAGGTATACGTAGAGTATGCAGAATAAAACAAACGATTATTTTTAAAAATTTTATTATAACATCATTGAATATTTGTTTGTACACAACTAAACAAAAAATACCTTATATTGTAAATAGCGTAAAACAAAACAATATCAATATATGGCGAAGCGCGAAGCTATATATTTAATATATCGATAGACCAATCAGAGTTGGCCATTGTAGAATAGGAACGTAAAAAATCGTGTGATCGTTCGAGGAAGCCTTTCAATTTCTTCCTGTTCCAAAATGACTACATCCGGAAGTATTTCGATTTTGTTCGAATATGTTTTTTTGTCGGTGGTTGTAGTGATTTAGAGGAGTGATTCCGTTTTTTGCATTTTTTGTTTTTATTTTTATTATAAAAAAGAATTTCGATGAGCCTTCTATGTACTGGTTCCCCGCATAGAAAGTTCACCACTTCCAACCGTAGTCAAGTTGATGCGGTGTGTAATTATTTTGCCTTCATTCAAAAAACAGTACAAAAATTCTGAAAAATATGCGCCGCAAAGCGTTTGTTTAAACTCTTGCGTATTATGTGATTGTATAAGCTTTGTATACTTTGTGGACGTGTTACAATATCTGAATCATTCAGAAATCCTATCTTTCGGAATGTTACAAGTTTTTGATGCACAGCCCAAACTATAAGATTTCTGCATAGTTATTTTATTCTTCTCCATGTTCGGTATAATCTTCTTCTGCTGCGTTTTGGCACGGATGTTGGATGCCCCTCCCATAGCGTCATACTATGGACTTGTCTTCGGTATGTTGACAGAAGCATTAGGTATTTTTGGTGATGGAGAAGGAGGTTAGGCCATGGTTAAAGTTCCGGCACCCATTCCGAAACCGACGCCCTTCGGACCGAAATTCCTACCGTAGCAACCTATCAAAAACAAAATAATAAATAATTATAGTTCGGTTGCGAATTGGAAGGCGGTAGAGAACTGTAAGCGATGTTGTCACGCGCTCATCGAATAAATACACTGAAAGTCTACATATTGAATTTTTGCATGAACATTGTAATGTTGAACAATTTTCTTCTGATCTATTTAAAATAAGATATACAGGGTGTCCCGAAAAAAGTGTGAAATATGCTACCAGCGGTTTCTAGAGCTTAAAATAGGAAGAAAAGTTCATATAATTATAGATCGACAAACGTCCCCTAAGGGCGTTACGGTCTTTTAAAGGGACTCCCCTTAAGATGGTATTTCCTTAATATTTCAGAAACATGTTGAGATAAAGACATAAAATTTGGTATTCTAGCCTAGCTTTTATGCTGGATTTAAAAATATTAACAATTTTAGACAGTTTTGTTTGGAAGCGTATGTAACATTGGCAGCCGTAAGAGAATATCAAAAAATATTTCCCAATCACACCTGGACGTCGAATGTTTACCGATATTCACCGGAATTTGTCAAACCATGGAAGTTTTCAGCGCATGCAGGGCTCGGGAAGGCCACTGGGAAATCATCGTATGGACATTGCTTTAAATATTTTTTAAAATAATCCGCAAACAGTAGACAAAATTCGTCCAAAATACGATTTGTAGAGGTTTGCGCGCTTCGAAATTGACGCTTTATTTTTTGATATTTTTGGATGAAATTTTAACAGTGTGCTGAAAACAAAAACCCACAGGGTGCTATAGAGCCACTTTTTCATTTTTTTCACTAGGTTCTTTTTAAAAAAATCGTGAAGTAGAACAAAAAAAGTGCGCACTTCAACCCATCATAAAACTTGTGCAAAAACAAAATTTCAAAAAGTGCTCCTATAGCACCCCCATATTCTCAACATACTGTACTTGTATGAATTTCATTCAAAAATATTGAAAAATAGAGTGTCAGTTTCGAAGCAGCTGAACCCTTGTAAATGGCTTGAAAGTGATTGCGTCGAAGCCGCCTTAAGCACGGTAGCAGCAAAGCAGTATTGCCTGAAAATAATAAGCTAACCTCTGCAGTAGATCTCTCCGTCGGGTCCATCGTTAAGGGTGGTAGAATCCAAGCTGCGGTTACAATCGTGACAACTGAAGCATCTCTTGTGCCATTGGCCATTTTTGCTGATCATTTGTTCCGCCGCGTACACGGCATATCTGGAAATACGAATGATATAATCACATGTCAAAATACCTTGAAATTGTTAATGAGCATTTTTAAAAGGGTGACATACCCGCATCTCTTGCATCCTTGTCCGGGTGCGGCCTTGGGTCCGCTGTTGGGTCTGGGGTCGTGCACCGCCGGGGCCGTTCCATCTGCGCACACGAGCGTGGGCCTGTGCCCGAAGCCGAACCCCTTAGGGCCGAACAGTTTGCCGTAGCAAGCGCGGCAGTGGATTTCGCGATCGGGTCCATCGCAAGCGAGAACGCTGTCCAATGGACGATGACATTCGGCGCAGTTGAAACACTTCTTGTGCCACATCTGCAAATTCAATTCGTTATTTACACGGTGCGTGTTTGCAGAAGTCGAAAAGGACGACAATGATGACGTTTATCAGCAATAAAATAAGGAAGCAACGGCAAACATGAAACAATTTACACTTTTACAATCACAACAACGAAATAAAAAGATCTAGTGGAATTCTGAAAAGTGACTGAACGTTGTAGTATGCTTTGTTAATCAAGAAGCATTTTATTTTCTTTTTAAAAGGCTCGTCGCTGGAACTGCATTATGAAAGGGAATTCCGTGGTAATTAATGCCGTTTCTAGTAGTTTGTAGACGTTGCTGAAGTATTGCGTACCCGTGCGTATGTACACAAATGACGATATCTACGGATGAACGAGAAGCAAGGTAGCACGTATGGTGAGTGGCAAAAAAGGTAAACACATACGTATGTTTATCCGATTTCAATAATTTTTGGCATATACAGGGTGGCGCATCGAAAACGAAACAGACGCATTTACTGGCAGCTCAGTTTGGCAAAAAATCACGTTAGCACGTGCAGCCTCCTAAGCGGGGGTGACACCACCCCCCAAATCATAAATGGAAAGGGGGGTCGAGTGATACCTTATTTTAAAGGTTTTTCAATTCCCTTTATACTGATATAAAATTAATGTACTTCAGTTCAGTAGTTTTGAAGATTTATTATATACAGGGTGACTTTGAAGTTGAGTCATTAATTTTCAGATAATGATTGTAGAAGGAAGATAAACCAAAATATGTGTGTAAAAATGTGTGAGGTCTTAAGTCACCTGATTCACGAGCCCTTTGTACTACATTAACAAAGGCACGAGGGGTTGGTTGCACTCGATTGGGAAACCGATTCGCACAAATCTGTGATGCCGCGGCAGCATTTTGTAAAGACTTCCGCCCCCGTAAATAAGAATCATGTCCACAAGTTCAGCATTTTCGTAAACATGTGCCATTTTTTATTTCGTTTGAGCCACGCAACAAACACCACTATTCACTCACGCATTACCGACTGACGAAAAACATCGTGATACACGTTTCAAATTCTTTCGCTTTTTTGTTTCCGATGCGATGAACCGATAAGGCGGATTATATCCGTTGTTGCCAAACACGAGCACATAATATTATTATTGAGACAGGGCGGTACTCAAACTTCTAAAGGGCTATAACTTTGTTACTTTAATTTTACCAGAAAAATGTTAAAGGAAAAAAACATTTCTTTTGATCAGATCTACCCACTGTTAAAATAAATGACTCAACTTCGAAGTCGAAGTATATACATCATTAGTGGAGATCAATACATTTGGCAGCAAAGTAATTTAAAAATGACGAATGAACTGACCCATTAGGCAAGTAAATGTTGAAAATGGCCACCATGACTCTCCATGCAATAAGAAAGATTTTGCTCAAAACGTTGCCGACCATTTTGCAGTATTTGAGGAGTAATTTGAAGGCACTCATTCAGAATTCTTTGTCGCAGGTCTTCTAATGATGTTGGCTGAGTGACATAGATTTTGCTTTTTAAATGACCCCACATAAAGAAATCCAAAGGTGATAAATCTGGCGATCATGGAGGCCATTCAATGGCACCTCTTCTACCAATCCATCGATCTGGAAACGTCTGATCTAAATATTGTTGAACACGTAATGCGTGATCTGGTGGAGCAACATCCTGTTGGAACATCAACCCATTCGCAATGTACCGCCGATCATTCTGATTTTCAATTATGGCTGTTAATACAGGATCTATGGCATCTTCCAGTAATTCCAAATACATTTCACCGGTCAAATTTCCGGGTAAGGAAAAAGGACCAACTAAATGATCGCCAAAATACCAGCCCAAACATTTAATTTTTGTGGCTGCTGTGTATGAACCTCTGAGATTAGAATCGGACCAATATCGGCGGTTATGACGATTTACTACGCCATTTCAGAAAAAGGAACATTCGTCGGTAAAGCAAGTGTTGAACAGGAAATGTTCATCGTTTATAATTCTTTCACTCATATCTTCACCAAATTCTAATCGCCAATCAAAATCGTCTTCATTAAGTTCTTGTACCAAGTGAATTTTATACGGATGAAAACTATGGGCCTTTAGAATCCGTTGGACAGTACGTTGACTAACACCACACACACACAGTCTCCAATTTGCGGGTACTTAACGTAGGATCTACATAAACTTGCCCTAAAACCCCCACTTCTATTGCTTTATTCCTTACGGGATTTTCAATGTTGCGTTTTTTATTGGCGACTGACTCAGTTTCCCGAAATTTAGCTACAAGTTCTAGAACATATTTTCGATTCACGTTACTGTTCTCATGTCGCTCATTAAATATTTCTGCTGTTCTATTAGCGCACTGATTATTTCCGAAAAATATTTCGATAATTTCAACTCTTTTTGCTGTGGAATATGCCATGGTTAATTTATGTAATAAAGCGTTACAAGTTATTGTAACAACAAAAATTGGTCAAATCAATCGCAAACTATGTACTAAATACCTTATCTTTCTTCAAGAAATAACTTTTTTGCCACAGAAAAAAACGCTCTAATAGCTATTTTCAACAACAAAATGATAAACAAACCATGAGCGTAGTGAAAAAAAGCATTTACTTATTAAGTAAATTCTTTTAGTCAAATTTCGTCTGAAAGTAGTACAAACTAATCTGATGTACCTTAAAGTCTAGTTTAAGCTTTAAATTAATAAACAATCAAAACTACTGAACTGAAGCTCATGTATTTTATATCATTATAAAGGGAATTGAAAGACCTTTAAAATAAGGTATCACTCGACCCCCCTTTCCCCCTTTTTTGCCAAACTTGTATCGCTCAATCGACGGGTCTGAGCGTTTTGTCAAAAAAAAACTGAGCTGCCAATAAATGCGTCTGTTTCGTTTTCGATGCGCCACCCTGTATGTTCAGTGTCCCATACTAGTAAAAAGGCCAAACGGTCATATTCGGCGATATACCGTACGCATATCAACCATCCTTCCAACCTCTTCAAACCACTGATTGGCGATGGCTCGAGTACTGAATCTGTCTCTCAGACACAGAAGTCTTAACCGGCGGTATTCTCGCTCCTCGTCCAGAACCGCTCGCAGTATACATCGTAATGTTTCTCGGGGTAATAAAAATTTTCAATTTGAACTATGAAATGACGTACCGTGCCCTTGGCTAGCTGTTGTTCAGCAGCGAAAACCATTCCTCCGCACCTGGGGCATCCTTGGCCTGGAGGGGCCTTGATCGATGTCGTATCAGGATTGTAGAACGGACGACTCTGAGATATTTCGTCTTCCCTATGAAATTAAACCGGACGGTCATTAGCTTCAAACGAAAACGAAGCAATTCTCGATCTCCATAATACTTACGTGAGTCCATCGGTCTGCAAGAATCCCGATCCGCACGCGAATCCGTAACCGTGCGGTCCCCATTTCTTGCCGTAGCACGTCTTGCAATAGACGTCTCCGTCCGGGCCGTCGCAAGCGTTGATGCTGTCCAATGTTTTCGTGCAATCGCGGCACTTGAAGCACTTCCTGTGCCACTGGCGGCCCTTCGCCAACACTTCCTCCGCAGCGAACACCACTCCGCCGCACCGGGGACATCCTTGGCCAGGTTTCGCCTTGATCGACGCCGTATCAGCGACGGTGGTCTTAGGAGCTTGATCGCTGTACGCGTTTAAGGATTATTTGAATAACGTGAGACACGTCGAATAAACATGTTCGAAAAGCACTTTTGAATTGCTGAGGCGGATATTTCGCCAATTCTGATTTGCTGACTGATATTTTTAAGTCGCAACCATTACAAAATATCGTGAATAAAATGTGACGTGATCACGACTTTGAGAACTAGGTGCTTCATGGCAACGGCGAATGATATAGAATCACGGTGTTAACGTTTCAGTCGACAATCGTGTACCACTGTAAGTGTTACTATGGCCTGCAAGCGATATGTGAATACAGTTGAGTATCGTGACTTTCGACATTTTAATATTGACATCTTTGTGGCCTAGCTGACTGGACTATCATGGTTTACTTAATTAATCCGAACTAAAGACAGATGCGAAAATAAATATGTTCAATCTTAGGGTATTGCAAAAACAGCGCGACACGGTCTTCCCCCAACCCCCCCTTTTTAAGCAGTACAATTTTTTTCTGTCAATGATAAGGAACGTCAAAAACAGAGTTTCAGCAATTGTTACTTTTTCTTTTTTTGCCTATAGCACCGTTGCCACTGGACTAAAACTACAAAGCTCTGGCATACTAGTAACCCGGTGTGGAAATTTCATAAAAATCCGAGCGGTTATTTCCAAGTTGATGAGTGATACAGTTTTTTGAGATGTAGATGTTATACGAATTAAAAAAAAACATAACATCTTTACAATACTTCCTCGCCAATGACGTGGGAAGTAAAACGGCTTTAAAATCGAGGAGTATCAGCGATCGCGATTATGAGTACCTATTTGCAGAACGACTAATCTACGCGATATTAACGCTTGGGTTGGCAGCACGAAACAGTAGACAAAATTTGTCCAAAATACGATTTGTAGAGGTTTGCGCGCTTCGAAATTGACGCTTTATTTTTTGATATTTTCGGATGAAATTTTCGCAGAGTGCTGAAAACAAAACCCCACAGGGTGCTATAGAGCCACTTTTTCATTTTTTTCACTAGGTTCTTTTAAAAACATCGCGAAGTTGAACAGAAAAAGTGCGCACTTCAACCCATCATAAAACTTGTGCAAAAGGAAAATTTCAAAAGGTGCTCCTATAGCACCCTGGGCAATTATCTTCTCAACATACTGTATGACTTTCATTCAAAAATAATGAAAAACCGAGTATCAGTTTTGAAGCAGCTGAAACCTTGTAAATGGCTTCAAACTCACTGTGTCGGAGCCGCCTTAAAGTCATGGTCACGTCACGGTTTTAAATCACTTAGATCGAAAAGTCAGGATATCACATATCAAGAATATTCAAAAATAACAAAATCGGCGATCTCTGGTTTTCAGTATATGACAGAGGTCTACGATTCAACATTAATGACGATACAACATCTACCAAACGCATTCACAATTAATCTACTCATGTCTGCTTTAATTGTAAAGATACATTAATCATACAAGGACGATCACAATAAAGTAAAAACTATATTGTTTTGTACCTCTGCCATTGAGCATCTAAAGCGTCAGACATTAAGCCAAGGAAAAGCCCGCCAGCGTGTCCGATTCCTCTGGGACCGTAGCGTTGAGCATAGCAAGCTAGATGTAGCACAAAATCATTCAATTCAGTCTTCAATCGTTATAGCTACAAACGAGGGATTCGAAATTATCGAAGGGATTTTTGGATTCGGTCCGGAATCGCATGCCTCGCTGTTGCGTCTAATATTGAATGCTCGTACGTAAAAACGTTTCATTCGATCTTTAAATATCAACTGAAAATTAGCTTGTATTTGAGTCTCATCCAAAAACCCCATGATGTCGACGAAAACGCAACATATTACCATTCTCTAAATTTGGACCGCGATATAAAGCAATATCAATATTTGAAAAGGAAATTCTCTTTTGAGCCAAAAGCAGCAGCTTTCGGCGAAACAGAGTAAGTATACAAATACGTAAGCGGAAATATCGTTTGATGAAAAGAGGCTGCGAATATTTTTAGTTAAATTGCACATAAATACATGATACGGAATCATTCGAAGTTTACTAATTTCAAGTTTATAGAAAGTAAAAATGTCGAAAGGACTTCCAGAATGGTAGCATGTTCGACGTGGAGGAAGTGACAAAGACGATAGCGAGGTGTCTGCGAGAAAAAAAACAACATATGTTACCTGACAGCGAAGCAGTCGCTTTGGAGAGTGCCACCACCCTGACCGTATCCGTATCCTTTAGGGCCAAACTTCTTGCCATAACACACTAGGACAACACAAACGATAGTTGAAACTCTCAACATTTATGATGCGATAAATCGTACTTATGATATACAGGGTGTTCAAGATGTGTTAAGGAGGACAACTTTTTAACCGAAAGCTACTTCCCTTAAAAATTTTAAATGTTTGAAAGGTCTTTCGAAGTCCTTTATTTTGAAGTTTGATTTTTTAAAATCTGCTTCAGTGATGAATGCGCATTTTATCTAAATGGATTTGTTATAAGCATAACTGCAGGGTATTGGCGTAATGAAAATACTCATTCTTTTATAGAAAGACATACCCAGTACCCCCAAAAAATTAATGTACGGACAAGCATTTTGGGAAACAAAGCGATTGAGCCGTTGTTTATTAATGGAAATTTGGATGGAGACATTTATTTGGTTATGTTGGAAAATACCATCAATACATTTATCACTGAAACCATTGACAACCAAAGAGGACGGAAACCCTTACTATACAGGGTGGCGCATCGAAAACGAAAACGCTCAGACCCGTCGATTTTGTTTTCGAGTGGGACACAAGTTTGGCAAAAAATGACGTTAACACGTGCAGCCCCTTGGGCGGGGGTGACAACAACCCTAAAATCTTAAATGGAAAGAGGGGTCGAGTGATACCTTATTTTAAAGGTATTGCAATTCCCTTTATAATGATGTAAAATTAATGTACTTCAGTTCAGTAGTTTTGAAGATTCATTGATTTAAAGCTTAAATAAAACTAATACATCATCATTACTGGAGATCAATACATTTGGCAGCAAAGTAATTTAAAAATGAAGAATGAACTGACCCGTTAGGCAAGTAAATGTTGAAAATGGTCACCATGACACTCATGTGTGGTCGCACATTGTGCAATATTTGAGGAGTAATTTGAAGGCACTCATTCACAATTCTTTGTCGCAGGTCTTCTAATGATGTTGGCTGAGTAGCATAGATTTTGCTTTTTAAATGACCCCACATGAAGAAATCCAAAGGTGATAAATCTGGCGATCTTGGGGGCCATTCAATGGCACCTCTTCTACCAATCCATCGATCTGGAAACGTCTGATCTAAATATTGTCGAACACGTAATGCGTCATGTGGTGGGGCACCATCCTGTTGGAACATCAACCTATTCGCAATGTACCGCCGATCATTCTGACGTTCAATTATGGCTCTTAATGCAGGATCTATGGCGTCTTCTAGTAATTCCAAATACATTTCACCGGTCAAATTTCCAGGTAAGAAAAAAGGACCAACTAAATGATCGCCAAAATACCAGTCCAAACATTTAATTTTTGTGGCTGCTGTGTATGAACCTCTGAGATTAGAATCGGACCAATATCGGCAGTTATGACGATTTACTACGCCATTTAAGAAAAAGGAACATTCGTCAGAAATGCAAGTGTTGAATAGAAAATGTTCATCGTTTATAATTCGTTCACTCATATTTTCATAAAATTGTAATCGCCGATCAAAATCGTCTTCATTAAGTTTTTGTACCAGGTGAATTTTATACGGATGAAAACTATGGGCCTTTAGAATCCATTGGACAGTACGTCGACTAACACCACACATAGTCTCCAATTTGCGGGTACTTAACGTAGGATCTACATAAACTTGCCCTAAAACCCCCACTTCTATTGCTTCGTTCCTTATGGGATTTTCAATGTTGCGTTTTTTATTGGCGACTGATCCAGTTTCCCGAAATTTAGCTACAAGTTGTAGAACATATTTTCGATGCATGTTACTGTTCTCATGTCGCTCATTAAATATTTCTGCTGTTCTATTAGCACACTGATTATTTCCGAAAAATATTTCGATAATTTCAACTCTTTCTGCTGTGGAATATACCATAGTTAATTTATGTAATAAGGCGTTACAAGTTATTTTAACAACAAAGTTCGGTCAAATCAATCGCAAATGTACTAAATTCCTATTTAAAATAAGTACGAGATATTTCCTTATCTTTCTTCAAGAAATAACTTTTTTGCCACAAAAAAACGCTACAATAGCTATTTTCAACAACAAAATGATAAACAAACCATGGACTTAGTGAAGAAAAGCATTTACTTATTAAGTAAATTCTTTTAGTCAAATTTCTTCTGAAAGTAGTACAAACTAATCTAATGTACCTATTAAAGTCTACTTTAAGCTTTAAATCAATAAATCTTCAAAACTACTGAAGTGAAGTACACTAATTTTGTATCATTATAAAGGGAATTGCAAGACCTTTAAAATAAGATATCACTCGACCCCCCTTTCCATTTAAGATTTTAGGGTTGGTGTCAACCTCGCCCAGGGGGCTGCACGTGTTAACGTCATTTTTTGCCAAACTTGTGTCCACTCGAAAGCAAAATCGACTGGTATGAGCGTTTTTCCCAAAAAAAATCTGATCTGTCAGTAAATGCGTCTGTTTCGTTTTCGATGCGCCACCCTGTATGTTTTCAACAAGACGGAGCTCCTCCTCACTATGTTCTTCCGGTTCGGGAATGGCTAGACAACGAGCTTGCACATAAACGGATAGAGCGAAGAGGGCCTATAGAATGGCCTATTAGATCTACTGATTTGACGCCATTAGACTTTTTTCTATGGAGCCATTCGAAATCTATCTCACCAGGAAGTTTGGACGAAGTTCGTCAACGCAATTGTTTGGTCAGTAACGGGCTACATTTTGAACAGTCATTGGATTAAAAGTGATATTTTCGTGTGTTTTTGTTTTCTATATGAACAAATTAAGATAAATAAAGATTTTTCAAATTTTCTTGAAAACGAATCGACCGACTTTAGAAAATCAAACGTCAAAATAAAGGACATGGAAAGACCTTTCAGACAAGCTATTACTGGATAGTCCTTGTCATTTAAAATTTTCAAGGGAATAACCTTAGGGGTCGACGGTGAATGGGGGTGAAGTAGTTTTTGATTAAAAAGTTGTCCAGCTTGACAAATCTTGTGACGTGTCTCGGCATTCTTTTTTTTAATCAATGGTTTTCAATAAATAGATTATGATAAAATTTGCGCTGATTTTTTTCAATTTGCTGAACTAACCAAGTGTCTCAGAATATGTGGCGTTTCTCTTCCGCCCATTTAGAATAAAGCCACTTGAAGCTGCCCTACGGTTAATCGATTCTCCGAATAAATCTCTGCCCCATATTAGCAAACACCCTGTATACGATGTAGGTGCCACATAAAATGTTAACGAGGTTCGGTCCACCCTTGTGACGGTAAATGGTTAGAAAAATGAGTAAAAAAACACACCTTTACAGTAGATGTCTCTGTCTGGTCCCTCGGTGACATTGACTGAGTCCAATCCCTTGTTACATTCACCACATTTGAAGCAGGTTTTGTGGAAGGCCTGTTGAAATCGCTGCTTGTAAACGGATACACACACAGACAGACACAAAAGTCTAATATTGGACAACTTGGATAATTTTAATTCGTACGTCATTCGTAGCAGAACAGCTAGACCAAAATCTAATTTATCTATTCAGGACGATCGTGGCAATATTTATGGAATTGAATGCAAGTCAAAAAATATTGCAAAAAGGCGGATGCTAAAATGCTCCTTTAACGAGATTCAGGGTTTTGAAATATCGATTTACACTTCTGTACATGTGGTCACTATCTACGAGCCCCTTCCCACTTCAGTTGGCCCAACTATTGAAATCTTAGTTTTTTTTCTTATCAAACACAAATAGTAAAAATGTAGCAGGGTGTTATAGGTTTAATATATTAACAATGAATATTTTGATAATATACAGGGTGACTTCGAAGTTGAGTCATTTATTTTAACAGTGAGTAGATCTGATCTGATGTTTTTTTCCTTTACCATTTTTCTGGTAAAATTAAAGTAACAAAGTTATAGCCCTTTGGAAGTTTGAGTACCGCCCTGTCTCAATAATAATATTATGTGCTCGTGTTTGGCGACAACGGATATAATCCGCCTTATCGGTTCATCGCATCGGAAACAAAAAAGCGAAAGAATTTGGAACGATGTTTTTACAATTATTTTATTCACTTGTATACAGTCAGTGTCAGTCGGTAACGCGTGAGTGAATAGTGGTGTCTGGTGCGTGGCTCAAACGAAATAAAAAATGGCACATGTTTATGCGGATCGGTTTCCCAATCGAGTGCAACCAACCCCTCGTGCCTTTGTTAATGTAGTACAACGGGCTCGTGAATCAGGTGACGTAAGACCTCACAGGGGACGGCATGCCGGTGCTCCAAGACCTCACGATCAAATACAGGTCCGCACTGAAATACTTGTCGGGAGGATACTTTATTAAACAAGGTAAAGTTTTTTTTTAATTTTTTTTTATATTTACACATATTTTGGTTTATCTTCTTTCTACAATCATTATCTGAAAATTAATGACTCAACTTCAAAGTCACCCTGATGAAAAAGATTCTACAACAACATCCTGCTCGTACAATCACCGAACTGAGACAAAAGCTTCAAGAAATATGGGATTATTCCACACCAAATTTTTGCCAAAACTTGGTTAACACTATGCCTCAAAGAATTTCAGCCGTAATAAATAATAAAGGTGGGTGATGTTACCCAATGGTAATCTTTCAATAAATTGTTGCTTTGTTAACTTCGCGCATTTATTCGCACATTGTTTATTTGTTCAGATGTTCTATTAGTTATAGGTCTAATGTATGTATTTTTTACGACTAGAGTGAATCTAAAATGTTTTTGAGAAGATAAATTGTTTTAGAAGTAAATAGTTTCGTCACGTTTAGTTTATAAAGGCATATTTTGGTAGAAATCTTGAAGTGGGCCAACTGAAGTGGGAAGGGGCTCATACATGGTAACTTGTTTCGCGACAATTAGTTTTACTTGAATACTGACAAAACACATCTAGTAAGATTGAATAAATCCCAGCGGAATATAGGAATACCGAAAATAGTCCGTAATTCCTGGCAGACTGTCGCTTTTCAATATGACTAAATATATGGTTTGCGGGTTTTAGGATCTGCCGTCTCTCCTGCTACGGTAGAGATAATAACAAATGATAAATCCTACAATGTAGAACATCCAAATTGTCCAATATTATAATGCAATAACGTATACAATTATTGGTATTGTTGAAGTACGTAAGACGAGTATTACATTCCCTGACGAGTCACATGGAGCGGTACTTAATAGACATGCTGATACGGGGTATAAAAACTGCAACTGACACTGAAAAATCGGAAGGGGCATATTTTTTGTTTTGTTTCAAATTGAGTACCTCGACAGTATACCATTCCGTCGGCCCCGTCGCAATGTGACGTCGAATCCAACCATTTTTGACAGTTGTTGCAGCGGAAACAGTAACGGTGCCACCCCTAAACAGTAACAAGGGGCACATTTTAACATTAATCCATATATTAAAATTAGGTACAATTAATTCCAAAATCTCAAAATATCCATAAGTATCCCTTTTTCAGACGCTATATCTAAAGGGTGTTTCAATAAGGAAGCAATATTTCAAGGTTCTATTAATCATGATATTTCGTAATTAAAACGCACATGACAACAGCGCGTCGGTATTTCATCACTCTTATCGAACCGGCAATCGATCATAAGCGGTAACAGTGGTTAGTTATCGGGCATGGGGCCTGTTGTTTTGTTTTTGTTCGCGTACGTCATCGTGTTTATTTACAATGTTCTCGAATCAAGAGTTCGCCGACATGTTGTTAGTTTACGGTGAAGCTCGTCAGAATTCAAATCTTGCAGCTCAAATTTATCGCTACACATTTCGCCAACGGGTACACCTAGACAGAAGCACATTTGTGCAAGTGTACCAAAGATAGGTTACTGTAGAGCAGGAGGAACAAATTTTGAATATCGTGGAAATCAATGCAGATATCAGCACTCGGGAATTAGGCCGCCGCGTAGGACTATCGCATGTACAACGAGTGCAGGCCTTGTTACCAGAAGACTATCCTCGCAGACTAACATTCTGTCACTGGTTTTTGCACAAAAACATTGAAAACTCGGATTTTTTTTAAAACATTCTAGTGACAGACGAATGTACTTTTACGCTAGACGGGATATTAAATTTCCATAGTACTCATACGTCGGCCCAAGAAAATCCTCATTCCATACGTGAAGGTCATTTTCAACAATGTTTTAAAATAAATATTTGGGTGGGTATTCTTGACGATCGGGTAATTGGCCCTTTCGAGTTACTCCCAAAGTTGTCAGGAGAAGCATACCTTAGCTTTCTAGTCAATAACCTGCCAGAACTTTTGGAACAGATCTTAGACAACATGCCATTACAACGGAGACAGAATTTGTGGTTTCTTCATGACGGGGTACCACCACACATTTTTAGAGGCGTCATTCAGTATTTGAATGAACATTATCCAAATCACTGGATCGGTCAAAATGTTCCTGATCCTCGAAAATGGCCAGCAAGATCTCCTGACCCCAATCCGATGGATTTCTGGTGTTGGGGAGAACTTAAAGGTATGGTTTATAGGACTGGTCCAATAACAACAAAGCGAAAAAAATTTTAATGCGGCTGAAATAATAAATGAACTTTGTATGTATCAAAATTGTGTTTCCAATTTATAAGTGGATTTTTTAATACGTTCTATAAAGTTTCACACACCAAGTGAACCGCTGAGACAGTTAGTGGTAAGTCCTTTTTTTTTAATTGTTTGCATTTTACAAGTACATTATCAAATATTGAAATAATACCTAAGAGACAAAAATAACAAACTCCATCTTTATTTACACTGCGTTCTGTCGTAAAAATGCTGTTTTGACCCCACGTTATATGAAACTTTTTGCTTCTTTCAACCCCTCCAATCACCCGTTTAAATAATGACTATCATATCTTTTACACCCTATATTTATTGGATTATGTATGAAACAACACATCAGGTAAATGTCTGCCACTCCTTTAATAAATATTTTTGAACACATTATGTCGTGGTATCTCGTTTATACAGCGTCTGATCTGTCATGTCACAATCTTTATGACAATATGACTGTCAAAATGGCGCTAAATTCAAATATTGCGTTCTTATTGATACACCCTTTATTACTAGATTGTTTAGTAAAGTTACTAATGTATAGCTCTTGCAGTGGTATTCATACTATATCCTTTCTAGTTTTCTGGAAGTCCTATTTCATTTCTTTCACGTTATTTTCTATTCTTTATTTAACAACAGATACGAAAATTTCTAAAACATCTGTTTTTCACTTATATGTGACCATTTTCAAACATGTGACCATACAGAATATTCCAAGATTTGCCGAAATAGGAACGGTGGTTATTGAGGTTACGTAATGACAAAGAAGAATCGTCGTCAGTCAGCGATGTCGAGACTAAAAACGATTTTCCAACTAGCTATTTTTTTTTTAGGTAAAGGATATCTATTGTTCATTCCATAAAAACAATAATGACATGAATCACCCGGTACAATTACTCGATGCCATTACAAACATTTTTTTAATAACCTATTCCGAGTTCTTGGAAAAATGGCGGCATCTTTAGAAGCCATTTTCGCGAGAGTATTTTCAATATTCTCCTATAACTGGAGTTCCCTTTCTGTTGGGCATAAAATAATAATAATAATTATTATTATAATACCACCTTGTACCTGGTTCGGGCATACTTACTCTTCCACGTGCAAGCATCTGTTCAGCAGCATAAACGTATCCGCCGCATCGGGGGCATCCCTGCCCATCGGGTGCCTTAGCGATGGCTTTCGCCAGCAAAGGAGCCCTATTCACGACTATATCGTCCCTGCGAAGTCGTCGAACGATATCAACTAAGCTACAAAATGTTACACGTTTCATAAACACGAACGTCTGCACCTAATAAATCCTTTAATTATTGTCGATCGGTCTTCTGTTGTGCGGAGTGAGATGACAGTCGAGAGACGGAAAGAAGTGATAATACTCGTACTCATAGACCTAGACATATTTTCGCAACGTCTCACACTTCGGGCACGAAGGCCGATAGAGAAAAGGCAACAGTATCGAACTTTTCTACCTGACAGAGACTATCAAAGCTTTGTCGGTATATAAAAACGCATAGTTTGAAAGCAAGATTAATTTGTTTGTAGTCTATAAACTGTGGAATGATTCTGTCAAGGGCATGTGTGAGTGAATCTAGCATGGATCGATGCCAACAATAAATTTTACCTGGCAGGTTACCACATATCTCGTTGGAGTATATAGTCCTTTAGCGTTTCCAAAAAAAATTATAACAGTTTAATTTATCAAAAAATGTATGTATACCGGTATCATTAACTAGGTCTATGAGATCGTTTCCTGGAGAAGGGACAAATAATATGCCAGATGGAGTCGCACAACTGGTCCAGGCAGATTTTTGGCTGATTCTTGGTCCTGATCAAACCAAAGAATAGAGAAAGTAAAGAAGAAGAGAAAGGAAGTGCTATGGAGTATTTCGTGTTTATAAAAGTGTAGAAAAAGGAGGTCTTAAGCATCAGCGATTATGCGGTTAAGCAGGATCTTTGTGATAGAAGGCTTCAAATACAGTGGACCCCCGATAATGCGGACCCTGTCTAATCCGGCGCCCCCTGTAATCCGACATGTCTTTGAACATGTGTTACATACATACATACGTATTTGACAATCTTCGCTAATGTAGATCACGCAGGTTTGAACAGGTTACAACTTGTACGCGCCACCGCTATCGTGCTCGACGCGTAAGCATTGTTTTACTTAGTTTGAATTTGATTACTTGTGATAGCGGTACGGCCTAGCGTGCGTTCATTGTTTACTATTTATTCATTGTGTATTAAGTATAGTACCTAGTAAAGTCATCACAAACTCAGAAGCGAAAGCACAAAACATTGACAATTAAAGAAAAATGTGATAGTTTAGACCGCTTAAATCGCAATGAAACTTTCAGTAGTTTAGCAAGTGAATACGGCGTAGGCCGATCTACAATTTATGACATTAAAAGAAACCACGAGAAGATCAAGATGTTCGTGTCAACTACTGACTGCGGGCCAGGCAAGAGACAGACACTCAAGAAAGCTGAACATCCAGAAGTGGAAGAAGCTTTGTAAAAGTGGTTTCTTCAGGAAAGAAATAGGCATGCACCAATTTCAGGACCCATGTTGGCCATGAAAGCTAAATTTTTTTATAAGGAATTAACAAAAAAAGATGATTTTGTGGCCGGCTTAGAACGTTTTAAAAGTCGTCATGGCATACGTTTAATGACTATTACAGAAGAGAAACTTTCTAACGATGCCACCTGCATAGAGCGCTTTAAATTAAGATTTTTGCAAAAGGTGAACGATTTAAACCTTGACCCGTCGCTGGTGTACAATGTAGACGACTCAGGGCTTTTTTGGCGTGTGATGCCTAACAAAACTTTCTTTTCTTGTAACGAAAAATCCATACCTGGACGAAAAGTAAGTAAAGAGCGTGTAACCATACTACCATGTGCTAACGCTGCGGGCACACACGCGCTTAAGATGATGGTCATTGGGAAATCTAATAAACCACGGGCATTCAAAAACATTGATTTATCTTACCTGTACACTATTAAGGACAAAAAAGTGCGTGGATGACAAAAGACCTTTTCAAAAAGTGATTTGATGAATGCTTCGTACCTGAAGTTAGAACATGGTTAAAAGAATTTTCCTCAAAAAGCGTTGTTGCCTCTTGATAAAGCTCCCGGTCATCCGTCTGAAGAAGAACTAACAACTGAGGATAAATGCATCACTGCGATGTTTCTTCCGTCACATTGCACTGCACTGATTCAACCAATGGACCAGAATATCATTCAGTTTGTCAAGCAAGACTATAATAAAAACCTACTTCTGAGAGCCGTATCAAAAGACCAACCAATAGAAAAAATTTTAAAAGAATTTAATATGAAAGACTTGGTTTTTGCTCTTTGTCAGTCGTCGAATGCGTTACCGTCATCAACTAATAAATCGTCTTGGAAATAGTTATGGCCATATATAGTTACCACTCCTAGCAAGGTTCCACAAATCAGTGTAACTTCGGGTGTTATAGAACAAGTCGCTACAGAAACACAGATAATTCCGGAAGATTTGGAAATCTGGTGCCGTGGAATGGATAAAGAGGAAAATGTTTTTCATGTAATGTCTGACGAAGAGATTATAAAAGAGGTTTCTAATTATACAACAAACAATCAGGAAAATAACGTCGTCGTGATTGCAACTGCTCCACAAGTCACAGCACAAGACGCAATTAACGCCTTCGAGCTAGGTTTACAATGGGCTGAAGAGAATGGTACATCCTACAACGAACTTTTACTTTTGAGAAGACTGAGGAACAAAGCTCTGATCTCGCCTTATAACAACCTTAAAAAAACAAAAATTGATGAATATTTCCAAGCTTCATAATTTGATAAATTCATTAATGATTTTGATTAATAAATCTTGATTATTTTGGTACATATGTATGTGCATTTATGCTTAATTTTATAATAAAACGTAAGCTCTCTATTGTTATTTAATTTACTAAATTCGACATACATAAACTATGTATGATTTGTACTTCAAAGTACATACATATACATAACATATACAATCTTACCATTGGATATGTAAATTGTCGGATTACAAGGTACTCTTTTGTAAAAGAATTCCGGACTATAGGGGGTCATAGGCAGTGATCTATAATCCGACAAATTCGATAGTCCGGCTGTCCTGCATAGTGTTTGTCGGATTACCGGAGGTTCACTATATATGCTTTCATTTATATTTTTTGTCCTTAAAAAATCTCTAGGCGTATTGTTCGGATGAGATAAAATTACGCACAAGTTTAATGTGTAGTAGTGTTCCGAAATACCTCGGGTTTGTGCGGATAGAAAACATAAAGATTGGAGAGCAAAATGTGCCTGGATTTCAAGATTCCATAGCATGTTTATAAAATAAATGCGACTGTTGTTTCATAATGATAAAATACTTCGTTTAATTTAAATGTTTACTAAAATTTATCGGTGTGTTTGCTGTCATTCCGAAAGGTCGTCCGAAATGTTATTTTTACCTGTTATTTTGAGGTGAAACATCATAGAAACAAGAATTTTAGAGAGGCTCGATCAAGAGAAAATTGGCAGCGGAGGCTATTTCGGAACAACCTACGCATTCCTGTACGATTTGCTAACGAAATACGACTTGTCCACGTATACGAACAGTGCAGCTCAAATTACGTAAGATTTGTGAGTAGAAGCGGCTGTTTTCAGAAACCTAAAAATACGCAGCGCATTGCTTCAGAGTTAAAAATAGATATACAGAGTGTCCTATTTTTGAGGCTTTCTAGTAAATGTACGCTGTTCTTTGTAAAAAAACAAAGGTAACTTTAGCAGCTCTTAAAATATTTTTTTAAATAAACTTGCAAATATATGTATAAGGAAAATGGGACACCCTGCACACCACAAGTGGATACCTAGTCTAATATGTGAGTAGAAGCTGGTGTGTTTGTGTGTGCTCGACAAACCTAAAAATACGCCACAGTGCATGACAGATAAAAATAAATGTACAACTGAATGCTGAAGCTGCGGAGGCTGTGGAAATTAAAGAAAACCAAATGCGGAAAAATGTAACAGGAGAAGGTTATTCAGGGTTCCGGTACATCTCTATAAATATGAAACTGCTCTTCGTAACGCAATATAGATTGAGGTTCAGTGGAAACTTTGCCTCATTCTTGTTTAACAAATAAAGGCGTCACCGTTATTATTGGCACGATTAAATTTGAGGGAACTCTCCTTATCCCACTACTTTTGGGTTAGGAAAAAATGTTAAGTATAAACAAAATATGTAACTATCTAGGCTGTTAATAAATGCGGGATAGCGTTTATATGCCTGGCCATGCTATTATGTATACATCGTCAAACTCTCACCGTTTTTTTTCTCGTTTGGTCTATCGGAGACATGCCATTCTTTTTTTTGCGTTAACCACAACCCTTCTTTTTAACGCTGATGTGTCATTTTATTTGTTTCAAACTAAATCGTAATACGTAAAAGGATGGGCTGTGGCTATAAGGTAGGGTAGAAGGGTGGGGGAAGACAACACAATATTCGGAAAACGTTGAAAACATTTACAATTTAAACAATAGAATAGAACAGGTTACAGTAATATGGTATGGTTGTATGTCTTCAGCTATATTATAGTATATAGTTTCTCAGTAAGACTCTTTTGTCATATTTAGTTACATATAGACTACAGAAAGAAAGGGTTTGTGTGTCAGAAAAATACAAATTCTACAATGATATATAAGGATGATGAAACGATGTAGAATTTGAACGAAACAGCGCAATTTTTGATTCAAGATTCCGATACAACGATTTCTTCTTATCCAGTCCAAGTTTTTCGAATATTGCGTCTTCTCTAGAGAGAAACGCGCCGACTATTCAATTTTATCTGATTTATTAAAATCCAACTATTACAAAATAATCGAATCCACGTACTTGTATGTAAAAATTAATAAATAATAAATCCTAAAAAAATATTACATTAGTGTTGTGTGGTGGGAGTGGAACTGATGTAAGAAGAAGATAGGCAGCCGCTGGATTTGTGTGAGATGGGCTTTGGTATGGCTGCCGCCTGCATTTTGCCGCTTTTTCCACCCGCAGAATGAGTTCGTTTAGTTTCTGAATGGACAAGGCAGAAAAGGGAACATCAACGGACGCATCTCAAAACACAGGCCGATCAACAGAGATTTCGAAGAAAGATCGCACGTTACCGATTGTACTGCATTTTGTGCGTGTGATGTCTATGTAAGTAAACTACTGAAACTATTCTTATCGAATGTTGGGCTCATGGTACATAATGCAGATATTAGTGAAGAGAGAGACTTTCTGAGCCGTATTCAATCGACATTTGTTTTTTTTTGACCGGTGCTATATTCGATTCCGTGCGATCCTTCTTGGACATCAACGAGATTTGTTGATCCTCTGTTTGTTGGTGTGATACGTACAATTTCGGCATCGGCTTTCGAACCAAGCAAAACACTTCTGATTAGCATTAAGCAATAATTAATCGTTGATTTATTATTCCGGTATTACCATATTAGACACATTTTCGAGGCAAAATAGCCCAAAAAGTCCACCCCCTAGTGATAGCGAATACTCGCCGAGGATCTCATTTACCTGCCCTTTTAAGTATTTTCTGTGGCGTTTCTTTTTATAAACATTGCAATACACGTTTTTCTGTCCAATCAAACCACCGATTCTTCTTTATTGTCTATGTTTTACTCCCAACGATCTCCACCTTTAGTACAATTGTCACTTATACAGGGTGCGGCAGAGAGGATGGACGGTTTTGAAAAAATCATAAAATATGTAGTTAATTTTACTCGAAAACAAATTTATTGATGGAATCAGGTTCGCATTTGAGACAGTCAAGTGTGGAAAATCACATCAGACATGTGGTGGCCGAAATCGTTGATGCAGTGCTCGAGGCGTTCTTGGAAGTCCGCGTAGACTCTCTCCAACATCGCTCTCTCAACTTGGGCGACTTCCACGCGAATTTCGCCCTTCAATTCGTCCAGAGTTCGGGGCTTGTTCGCGTATACTCTAGCCTTGAGGTGTCCCCATAATAAAAAATCGCATATGGATAAATCTGGGGACCGAGGAGACCAATGAACATCGTCAAACCTGGAAATACGGCGACCAGGGAAGAAAGGGCGAATAACGTCCATGGATGCTCGGGCTGTGTGGGCAGTCGCCCCATCCTGCTGGAACCACACACGTCGGATTGGAACACGTCGTTGTCGTAATTCAGGGCGAAAGACATTGGTGATCATGTCGACGTAGCGCTCTGAGTTCACGGTAACATCACGACCATTACCGTCTTCGAAGAAGTAACGGCCAATGATGCAAGTTTGCGATACAGCGCACCAAACAGGGTGGCTGTGCAGCGGTCTTACGTGTAACTGTTGCGGATTGTCATTAGCCCAATAACGACAATTCTGCTGGTTAACCATGCTGTTTAGGTGAAAGTGGGCTTCGTCACTCATAAACAAAATGAAGTTCTCATTTTAATCGATCAGTGCTTCCATCTCACGTGCGAAGGTCATTCGTTGTGCATAATCTCCGGGCTGTAACTGTTGCACAATGGCCAATTTGTAGCGGTGAAAGCGGAGATCCATATGCAAAATTCGCCTTGCCGAACGATTACTAAGGCGAAGTGCAGCAGCATTTTTCCGGGCACATCGAGTCGGACTGCGAAGAAAGACCTGTCGATCGCGTTCGACATTTTCAGGAGTTCGAACTGTTCGCGGCGCTCCTCTTGGTCTTCTGTTGATCAGTTCGCCACGCCTGCGAAGTGATTCAACCCAACGAAGGATGGTGTTTCGAGAGGGAACAGCTCTATTCCGATGAATGTTGAAGTGGCGACGAAACTCACGCTGTACGACGATGACTGACTCATTATTTCGGACGAAACAATCATAGGCGAAAACGCGGTGCCCCACCGTCCAAGGCTCCATAACGACAACTGGTAAAATAATGCTAGGATCTCACGAGTCAAACGGCACCCTCCCCACCTCTCTCGTAGACGGAGGCGGAGGATACTACCCAGCCCAAAAACGTCCGTCCTCTCTGCCGCACCCTGTACAATATGTTTCACTTATTTGTCTCAAAATATATTGTCAAAAACAGTGCCAATTGTACTGAACAACCTCGCCGAAAAGTATACAATAAAGAAGAATTTTAAACGTATGTGGTTTGATTGGCCCGACAAATATGGTAGATTAACGATATGAAAACCACAGTATGAGTTTCAGATGTTACATTTATTATGTCCCCTTAACAAAAGGCAGGTATCCTTTTGTCACTTTTTTACAAATATTCGTTTGCGTAAGTGTTAGATATGCTTAATGCAATCAGATGTATTAGCTTGCGATTAAAGGCAAGAACATAAACATAACAAAAAAAACAAAACAAAAACATAGAACAAAAAAAGAAGAGATAAGGAAAGCCCTCAATCTGAAAGACGTTAAGTGAAATAGCCTTCATAACCGATACCCGAATTTTTCTTAGAGTATGTTGTTAGCTGGGCTCAATCAAAATTAGGCCGCCACTATTTTTGTCATTCTTGTGGCTATCGCGAAAAATCTGCGTGTTTCGGATAACAACAACGCCGTAACTACGCAATATTAGAGGCATAAATTGTCGTTCGATGCTTTTTCACTTATACAATAAAACTCATACAAGGTTACGCTTACCTAGAATGTATCAAATTAAAAATTCTCTATTCCCGTTTTCGAAGGGGCTTGATTTTGATTGAGCGACATGCTGAGTATCGCTATATCAAATAATAAAGAAATCAGCAATGTGTAAGTTGTATGGCTGTGATAGAAAATTGTTACACAGCTTCGTGCATTCCGCATTCCTTGCGTAAATGATATGGCGGAATGACCTGTGCTATTGAACCTTGTGGCGGTCCGTAAAATAGGCATGCGGAATGCTTTTCTAGCTGTAGATTGAAGGAAGCGTCGATATTATAGAGTGACAAATGGTGGTAATTCGAATCTTCACCAAGTTGGTCACTCCAGAATATCACTTGTGAAGAAAGGTATTGAAATTGTTGGTTCAAGAAAGAAGATAGTGTGGTGGTCTATTCGCGTGTACAAGGCGCGTATTTGATAGTACTCACCCTTGAAGGTGAGCTCCGGTGTCCATGCTCAAGCAGCCGGCACCACCGCCAAAACCGTACCCTTTAGGGCCGTACTTGCGCGCGTGGCAGTTCTTACAGAACAGTTCAGCTTCGTGCTCGGTCACGTTGGTAGAGTCCAACATCTTACCGCACATTCCTGAAAATATGTGCAACTTAGTCAATAACAACTAAATAGACTATACAGTGTGGCGCATCGAAAACGAAACAGACGCATTTACTGACAGCTCAGTTTTTTTTTTTGGAAAAAACGCTCAGACCCGTCGATTTTGTTTTCGAGGGGGACACAAGTTTGGCAAAAAATCACGTTAGCACGTGCAGCCCCCAAAATCTTAAATGGAAAGGGGGTCGAGTGATACCTTATTTTAAAGGTCTTTCAATTCCCTTTCCCCCTTTCCATTTAAGATTTTGGGGGCTGCACGTGCTAACGTGATTTGTTGCCAAACTTGAGTCCCCCTCGAAAACAAAATCGACGGGTCTGAGCGATTTTCCAAAAAAAAACCTGAGCTGCCAGTAAATGCGTCTGTTTCGTTTTAGATGCGCCACCCTGTATAGTGTCTTTGTAGTAACAGGACCAACAGCCTCGTAGTTTATTTTTACATTATTTTATGATGACTCTCACAAAAGGTGCAACTTACTTTATTGTTTAGGAAAATTTGAAAAAAAATGTATACTTCGTCGTTTCAAATTGCAGATATAAGCTTCGTCTTATATGACACCTACATTTGTAACAAACATCTGATAGTAACTTGAAATCATCCGAAAAAGAGCAATGATCGGCCAGTTTATTCATGTACTTACCGCATTTGAAGCACGATTTGTGGAATTTGTATCCACCGGCCACACGTTCTTCTGCGGCGTATACGGATTTGCCGCATTTCGGGCATTTTGGGTTATCTGCTGGCTTGAAAGGCATTTTTATGATCTATTTGGTCGATCTGAAACAAACGTACAATCTTAATTCGTTGTTTTAATGATCGAAAAACTCTCAAGGATTCTTCCGACCGCCATGCACATTTAACTTGTGTACGAGTGCAAAAATGCGCATTTATATGCCAGATAAATTAAGATTCATCCTTGTGTTGGCTCCTATTAAAATACTTCAGTAAAGCAAAATCTTTCTTTCCAAATTTCAAAGTATCTAATTTCTTCAAAATTTCGATATGTTCAAAAAAATTTCGATATTTTCAAAAAAATTTCCAAAATTCAGAATTTTCCAATAATTTTCAAACCAATTTTTGTACAAATTTCAAATTTTGTTCCAAGATTATTGGTAAACTGTAGGTTAAAAAATTCCAATATAATTAATAAGCGGATTTCCGAATTTGCAGCGCTTTTTCCTATTTTTCAAAAATCAATTTACCCATGCTGGGCTTACAGTGCAAAGTCGAATTTTCTGAAAAACTCCCCCAGCCGCTAGTAGCTGTGAGAATTCATCGTATTAAGATTCCAAAAATACAACAGCGCTTTTCGATCTCTTGCATTCGGCAATTGAGCACCCTATATTATTATTAATAAATATACAGAAATGAAAGAGACAGCTTTTTAAATTTTATAATCCTGTAGAAAATTAAAATATTCTGTATGAATCTGTCTTTCCTTTTATAAACACAATGTAAATATATTTGGTATGTCTGTAACTTGGCGCGAATCCAATCCATATAAGGACAAATTTCGCCGAGCATCACTGTTTCTTGGACTTGACCTACTGTAGCGTTACTATACAATAACAAAAGCTCCATATAAGTATCTACAGGTCTATTTGGTATTCCATCTTGATTCATCATTTGCGACGAATCTCCATAACTGCAGATATAGTTATGGATTCGTATCTCATAACGTGAACGAATTGACAGGGAAATCGAGGGATTTTGTGACAACTTTTTATAGACTGTTAAACACTGATCGTTACTATGCCTGAATACCAAAGCGGAACAGATCACGTTTAGACATGGAGCGATATTTCTGTAATATGGAAGATATGATATATATTATATTATCGCTCACCGTCCGTTGCCAGCTTTACGTTACTGCTAGCGCGAAAAACGAGTTAACAATGGCGTGCGATGTGTTTTGCTACACTTTTGTGTTTCGGTACCAGACTGTAATCTGTCCGCACACAAGCGCCTTAGAAATTCTTTATGTCAAACGATAAGCTTTGATGATTGGCCATGAATATAGATTTTTCAGAAATGGAAAGGTTTGTGTCTACTATTAAAGAAGTATGTTAACGTTAATAGCGGCAACAATTTTTTGACCATTATTCACAAAACCAAAAAAGGCGTTTCGTTTTCGCATATTCGTTTTCTAAAAATCATAGATGGATAAGTCAAGGATAGTTCAGTATTCGCTACCTAGCTACGAAGTTTAGCTTGTAATATTATTTACACCTAAACTGAAATTTATTTTTTTTATCTGAAAAGCAATATTGAAGGAATTTATTGTTTTTGATCACTTTTATCACTGGTTTCAATGAATATACTTATGCCAGACTCACCTTTGTATGGAAAATTGTATAACTAGCCAATCAAGAGAGCTTATTCCCTAACACCGATAAAAATATTTGTATTATAGGAAATTACTTGTGTAAGTACATAAAGGTAATTAGGAAATGATTTTCTTGTACTTAGATTGTATGAGCAGAAAGGACATATACTTTTTTAAGCAATATTTAAATTAAATTGATAATAATAAGGCAAAATAAAAATAATTGAACAATATTGGAGCTGTTAAAGCATCGAAAGAAATTTTCATGGGTTAAAAAAGAGTTTGATACTATGTCTTTCACTGTTCTTTGTGTACAGTACTTGCACGTGTAGCTCCTTCCGAATATAATCGTTCACAAAATCCCATTCTCCATTTCTCTGTATCGTATCCAATTGCAGATGTTCACCAATCACTTGCGTTTCACTTTGAAAAATCGCGAAAATGCAAAAACGTCCATATTTGGCGTGGCTCGTCTCAGTTGGCTGTGCGCCAATGGCGTAACACAAAACACGCGCTAAATATAGAAGGGTGGTGCTGGTTACCGATTCGAAGTTGGCACCTGTCCAAATATGGCGGGCGGCGCGAGATTGAGGTTATGTTCGTTCGTACCTGTTCGTTAAATTAGGGTCGCGGTTGGCGTCGTGGAAATATGCGGACCTCCTCACTCTGTTATCTCACCACTACAACCAGTTGGAATCGAGTGACTCGGCGAGAGGCAGGGGGCTCCTAGTCTATCCGGCGAGAACGTTGCGCACGGCCCCAAAGATGCGCGAGAGTAGGGCGACACACCTCAACACGACTCAATCATAGCCGTGGTATTTTCGGAAAATTTTCTCAAATACTCTCTCTCTGCTCTTCTAACAGACGGTGACGTAGTTTACATATCATAATCATAGCACAAACATAAGGAAGTTACAATCACTGTTTAAATTAGACGGTTTATAGACATAGATATACCGCAAGTTAAGCAACTCTTAGCGTCTTATGATGGACCAATGACATTACGCTAATTCCGTAGATAAAGCGAATTTTTTTCTCTTAATGGAAATCAACTGACGTTGGCGGAAATGGAATGTGACAGATTACTTTTTATTTTACTTTATTGAATAACGTTCGTTAATTTGTTTAGCAAACAGTTTAATTAAAAATAAGCTCATGAAATTTCTTAACACACACAAAACATCATAGCGAAAAATGGCCAAGTGGGTTCGCTCTGCATCTCCTAAACGATGCCATCGTTAGTTCATAAAGCGCAATTTACATTCTCGGACAGGTAACTGATAGTTCCCAATTATGCGGCAACGTTGCCCCTTTTCACATTCGCGCGGCATCACTTTATTAGTATTATTTAAGCTTTAAATCAATAAATCTTCAAAACTACTGAACTGAAGTATATTAATTTTATATCATTATAAAGGGAAGTGAAAGACCTTTAAAATAAGGTATCACTCGACCCCCCTTTCCATTTAAGATTTTAGGGTTGGTGTCACCCCCGCCCAGAGGGCTGCACGTGTTAACGTGATTTTTTGCCAAACTTGTGTTTCCCTCGAAAACAAAATATCAACGGGCCTGAGCGTTTTTCTTTAAAAAAAACTGAGCTGCCAGTAAATGCGTCTGTTTCGTTTTAGATGCGCCACCCTGTATATACAGGGTGACTTCGAAGTTGAGTCATTTATTTTAACAGTGAGTAGATTTGATCAAAAGAAATGTTTTTTTCCTTTACCATTTTTCTGGTAAAATTAAAGTAACAAAGTTATAGCCCTTTGGAAGTTTGAGTACCGCCCTGTCTCAATAATAATATTATGTGCTCGTGTTTGGCAACAACGGATATAATCCGCCTGATCGGTTCATCGCATCGGAAACAAAAACGCGAAAGAATTTGGAACGATGTTTTTACAATTATTTTATTCAGTTGTATACAGTCAGTGTCAGTCGGTAACGCGTGAGTGAATAGTGGTGTCTGTTGCGTGGCTCAAACGAAATCAAAAATGGCACATGTTTATGCGGATCGGTTTCCCAATCGAGTGCAACCAACCCCTCGTGCCTTTGTTAATGTAGTACAAAGGGCTCGTGAATCAGGTGACTTAAGACCTCACAGGGGACGGCATGCCGATGCTCCAAGACCGCACGATCAAATACAGGTCCGCACTGAAATACTTGTCGGGAGGATACTTTATAAAACAAGGTAACATTTTTTTTATTTTTTTTTTATTTTTGCACACATATTTTGGTTTATTTTCCTTCTACAATCATTATCTGAAAATTAATGACTCAACTTCAAAGTCACCCTGTATACCAAGATGCTCACCAGTATAACTATTTTATTATTGAAGATAGAAAAACGAAATTTGGGAATTGCGTATTATAGATGAATTTACGTTTTTAGACATATTCACTTGATTTGAAGTACTTCCGGTTCGACCGGAAACGCCTCCAACTTTCGATTTTTAAATGGGACAGCCTAGTCAAATGAAAAAATTAGTGTTTGTAATTTTTAGAAAATCTCCAAAGTGACTGTAAGGTCACACGCTTCAAAATCGTATTTTTTCCCGTGTTACTTAATCAAAAATAGAGCGATTTACAGGATCGATGGCATTCTAGATGGAAAAATGAAAATTGAAATAAAAATGATTTTGTCAAATGTTGACAAGTTAGGCGTTATTGAGTTCAGAATGTCATTCTCGATCTAAATAAGTAAAAATCGTGAAAATGATGAAATGCTCGGCATGAAGGAAAATTACGCATACTCCGTGCCTACCGATTGGTATCAGTGTGATCTTCTGAGACAATACATTCTATCCAGAATTTTATAATCGTATCGGTGTTTTCAATATTCACCCCTGAGGAATACTTAACGCTTTTGATTGAACTTCAATGAGATTCTTTGTTCAATGTTAGTGCATTTGCTTGACTCTATGTTTTCATCGATTAAAATCGTATCTAAAATGACCAGTCTAATTTTGTGAGCGAGTCTGAGCATCACAACTGCCTCTCTAGGAGCCGCTGAGAACGAACTATTTTGAGCGAAGTTGACGCGTCGTCTGTATCATCTTCGATACCACCTTGCCGTCGGTGCAGCTTCTATCTTCCTGGCTGCCCTCTTGCACCTCGCCTTCCGCCCGAGAAACCTGACACCGAACGCCGCTCTTTATCATTCTTAAGATTTTTCTTCAAACTGTACAGATTCTTTAAGGTTGCTCAAAAAAGAGGGTCAAAGGCATCCAAACAATTTGATGGCAAATATTTAAGTGTCTAGCGATCTTCCTCGTACTCGTTCAGGATGTTCTTCGACCACGTGCAGCACTGCTTCCTTAATTTCAGGTCTTCTCAAACTTAGAGGTCTACCTTCAGATGTTCCTTTTCGGACAGAACCAGTTTCAACAAGACGACGATGAATATTAGAAAAGGTTTGACTATCTGGCAAAGCACGATCGGGATACCTCTGGTGATAATTCCGTCTGGCTTGCTCACCATTACCGTCGGTAAGGCCATATACGTAATACATCTCCGCCATTTCTGCATTTGAATAATTCACAATTATTAACAAGATTGTAAAAACTAAATAATGAAAAAGATGTCACAGCGAACAGATTTGAGTAACGTGGTTGTCAGGTGTCAAAGGCCAGTGACATATTCCAGAGCAATGCTTACTCAAAAATGGCGCATCGAAGGACAGCAACTCAAGAGAAATAATTTTTTTTAAATTGAACGGGAAATTCAAAAATAATTTTTATTTGACAAAAAACTATTAAGAAGAGCGATTGCCTCGTCCCGTTGGAACCACACGCCATCCAAGTCTTTTTATCGGTTTCCGGAAAGAAGTAATTATTCAGCATGCTTCGATTGCGCACAGCAATGACCGTGACGGTGCGTCTTTCGTCATCTTATACAGGGTGACTTTGAAGTTGAGTCATTAATTTTCAGATAATGATTATAGAAGGAAGATAAACCAAAATATGTGTGTAAAAATAAAAAAAAAATTTTACCTTGTTTTATAAAGTATCCTCCCGACAAGTATTTCAGTGCGGACCTGTATTTGATCGTGCGGTCTTGGAGCACCGGCATGCCGTCCCCTGTGAGGTCTTAAGTCACCTGATTCACGAGCCCTTTGTACTACATTAACAAAGGCACGAGGGGTTGGTTGCACTCGATTGGGAAACCGATCCGCATAAATCCGTGATGCCGCGTCAGCATTTTCGTAAACATGTGCCATTTTTGATTTCGCTTGAGCCACGCAACAGACACCACTATTCACTCACGCGTTACCGACTGACACTGACTGTATACAGCTGAATAAAATAATTGTAAAAACATCGTTCCAAATTCTTTCGCGTTTTTGTTTCCGATGCGATGAACCGATAAGGCGGATTATACCCGTTGTTGCCAAACACGAGCACATAATATTATTATTGAGACAGGGCGGTACTCAAACTTCCAAAGGGCTATAACTTTGTTACTTTAATTTTACCAGAAAAATGGTAAAGGAAAAAAACATTTCTTTTGATCAGATCTACTCACTGTTAAAATAAATGACTCAACTTCGAAGTCACCCTGTATAATATACATACATTCAATACTCGTATGTAGCACGACATTCATCTACCCTTTGCTCGATGTAAGCTGGGTAGTAGATCTCCCTCTTTTTTTAGGACCAAAGATACCCAATAAGCCGCCTGAGTATATTAAGACAATTAGCTTCTTAAATAATTTTAAAGCTAAGTTAAGAACCTATTTTATTAATAAGACATGTTACGTCATCAGTGACTTTGTGGATATTTAGATGTTCTTTTTTTTGTATTGTTTGTTATCCACTTATAGTTTATCCTTTTATATATTTTTATACAGGGTGGCGCATCGAAAACGGAACACGCATTTACTGGCAGCTCACTTTTTTTTTCGAAAAACGCTCAGACCCGTCGATTTTGTCAAAAAATCACGTGCAGCCCCCTAAGCGGGGGTGACACCACCCCCAAAATCTTAAATGGAAGGGGGTGGGGGAGTCGAGTGATACCTTATTTTAAAGATCTTTCAATTCCCTTTATAATAATATAAAATTAGTGTACTTCAGTTCAGTACTTTTGAAGATTTATTGATTTAAAGCTTAAATAAAACTAATACATCATCATTAGTGGAGATCAATACATTTGGCAGCAAAGTAATTTAAAAATGAAGAATGTAAGTAAATGTTGAAAATGGCCACCATGACTCTTCATCAATAAAGTTTTTGCTCAAAACTTTGCCGCACATTTTGAAATATTTGAGGAGTAATTTGAAGGCACTCATTCACAATTCTTTGTCGCAGGTCTTCTAATGATGTTGGCTGAGTAGCATAGATCTTGCTTTTTAAATGACCCCACATAAAGAAATCCAAAGGTGATAAATCTGGGGATCTTGGGGGCCAATCCACCGATCTGGAAACGTCTGATCTAAATATTGTCGTTCCTTATGAGATTTTCAATGTTGCGTTTTTTATTGGCGACTGACCCAGTTTTCCAAAATTTAGCTACAAGTTCTAGAACATATTTTCGATGCACGTTACTGTTCTCATGTCGCTCATTAAATATTTCTGCTGTTCTATTAGCGCACTGATTATTTCCGAAAAATATTTCGATAATTTCAACTCTTTCTGCTGTAGAATATACCATGGTTAATTTATGTAATAAAGCGTTACAAGTTATTTTAGCAACAAAGTTTGGTCAAATCAATCGCAAACTATGTACTAAATTCCTATTTAAAATAAGTACGAGATATTTCCTTGTCTTTCTTCAAGTAATAACTTTTTTCCCACAAAAAATGCTCCAATAGCTATTTTCAACAATAAAATGATAAACAAACTGTGGACGTAGTGAAGAAAAGCATTTACTTATTAAGTAAATTCTTTTAGTCAAATTTCTTCTGAAAGTAGTACAAACTAATCTGATGTACCTATTAAA